TTGGTATTTTTCTAACTATATTTAACCGGATGAAGGATTTTAGTCACGGACGTCTGGATCTTAAGTTATCAGAGCAACAAGCTGAGCTAGCTCGGTTAGCAGCGCCGAACTGCCCTGGAGAAACACATGAAACTACTTTATTTTGCTTTGGAGATTTGGTTGTGATTGGTGGTTTGCTGTCACTCACTCAAGGACCCCTGACATGAGAGCCGCGCCAGTTTTCCTTTTGTAGCAAGCAGCAAAAGAATTGTAACATGACGTGTTTGAGTTCTTTTGCCTACTTAATATCGCACGTCCTAAAAAATAAATAAAATGCGATGTGCCTCTGCCTCCTTACTTGGTCGGGCCGCTCAATTGTCAGCTTCACAGACTATCGCGCATGCGCATATCGCGATTATCGTCACGACACGATATATCGTGCAGCACCATTCTGCACAGCTCTCCACTTTAAGATGTACTGGATTTTGTAATATATTCACTGTACTTAGTTTAAGATTTATGAATATTTAAACTCTGTGTGAATAATTATCTGTTTTAATCTCTTTATAATAGTTATGCACGCACGTAACACGTACATTAATCTTCTCTGTTTGCACAATATCTTTGACCTGCACACATACATGTAAATATATTTAACAATCCATACTTAAATATGTATATAGGTTCATTTAATTCAGCTACTTACCTGTATATCATTTTATCTTTAATTGTATTAATCTTGTGTGGATCTGTACTGTACTTTCGCTCTCACTCTGTTGCCGCTTAAACTCCTGAATCTCCTCACAGGGTCCATCTTTTATTTTCTTATCTTATAACACGTGTGTATTTTTATGTGTAAACCTACTTGACAATAAACCTGATTCTGATTGTGTTGGGATGATCACACCGTTGGCCATCGGGAGCAACTCAGGGTTAAGTATCTTGCCCGAGGACACATCGACATGTTGGCTGCACCTTCTGGTTGAAAGACGACCGCACTCCCTCACAGCCACAGTCACCCATTGCCTTTTCTACACTGTAGCTGCTGATCACATGACAATAAAGCCTTGAATCTTGAATCTATTGATCATATTCAGGGTCTCAGATTGAGTTCATCTCACCTCCCAGTTTGTTGAGGATCCGGGTCACGGCTCCTGAACATCCCTCACAGGTCATCGCCACCTCGAACTCGTGCTTCTGTTGGACACAGAATACATAATGAGCTGTAATTATGATTAATTAAATAAAATATAATAACTATTCCGAAAGTCCCCAAAATGAAAGTGATGGTAACGGTGTATAAATGTACAAAAAAAACAACAGTTATTTTACACATTTATTTATGTATATTATATATTTGTCTTTGGTGTTTTTAATTTGTTTTATTTCCTATTATTATTATTTTATTTCTTTCTTTCTTATTTTTATTCATTTTTTTTAATATATATTTATTTATTTATATTTTTGCATTTTTTTTAAATATATTAAAGTTTTTTTGTATCCGTTTTCTATGTTTGGACTATTTTAAATCGCACTTATTTTCTTAATTTTTTTACCTTCTTGGATTTATAACCACCATTACAATTACATGCATTACATCTCTATATAAACATTACCTGACACTAAAAAACCCTTAAAAATATTCTATAATTTAAACGGGATCTGCTTTAAGATCTGCTTGAAAGGAACTTGTGCATACTGATTTAAATTAAATGGCTTGAATAAACTGTATGAACATATCTTAGTGCTCTTTCATGTGATATAAACAATGTCTAAATTGTCCCACACTTCCACACAGTAGCTTAGGCCGCGTCCACACGGAGACGATATCAGTTGTATCCGCTAAAGTTCTTTATCGTATAGACGGTTCGTCCACACGAAGCCGACACGGAGCCGCGGCTTCGGAGCCCGAAAACATTACACTTTGATAACGGCTCCCAAATAAATGTGATGTCTACACGAGTATTAAGATTAGGATGACCCTTTATTGATCCCCCATTCAGTTTTTAACGGAAGTGATTGTTTACTGATCCTGATTCATGATATAATAGTTTAATTTGTTGTTGTTTTCTTTAACTGTGTTTATGTACGCTCCATAGACACCAAGGCAAATTCCTCGTATCTGTTTCTGCTTTCTGACATCAATACGAGTATCATTACCATTAATGTCATGTTACATTTAAATGAACTGAGATACTACTTTGAACTTTATGTGCTGCTCAATTCCCACCATTTACGAATCAAGCTGATGACTGGAATCGATGTTTGCCTCAATGAAAGTGATTGTTTACTGATCAGCTAGATAAACAACAACAGGAGATTGCATTATGTGAGATATCAGATGTCATGATATCTATAATGAAGAGAAATTAGATATCAATATGAGTATTATTACCATTAATCTCATGTTACATTTACTGACCTGAGGTACTACTTCTGACTACATGTTCTGTGCAATTAACATCATTGATCAATTATTCTAACTGTGGTTGTTTACCAATCAGCAGTATTGGTAGCAGTATTCAGATGCTTTACTTGAGAAAAACTACAAATACTATGGTCTTAAAATGCTTCACTACAAGTAAAAGTCTTGATTTAAAAAGGTCAAAAGTATTAGCATCATAATATACTAGAAGTACTTATTCTGCACAATGGCCCATTTCGTTATAATATAGAGTATTATCAGCTAGATTGACTTCAAGTATCAAAAGTACCCATAGGGCTGAATAGATATTATATTTTCATGGTTATTATATTATCCTGTTTTTTACACGTGGGAGCATTTCAGTATTGTAGTTTGTCAACGTGGACAAAATACAGATTACAGTATACTGCATTACTCAATATCAGCATACCATGTGTTTATAAGTAACTGTGAGAGTTAAAATAAATATAGTGTAGTAAAAGTATAAAGTAGTATTACATGGAAATACTCAAGTAAAGCACAAATACGTCAAAGTAGGACTAAAGTACAATACTCGAGTACATGTACTTTTCACCACTGCTAACCAATGTAACATTAGACGGTATTAATACTAGTACTGTCATATTACATTTCTCTATATTGAAATATCATGACATCTGATCACATAATGCAATCTCCTGTTCAAAGACTATAATCGATGTTTCCCTCTGTTTCAATGGAAGTGTTTTCTGATCAGCTGACAGAGAGCAGTCTGAGAGCTACAGCTACTGAGCAATGCGGAAAGGAACATCTGATTTAATTTGAGACATTAGGATGTTCTTAACTCACCGTCATGTTGGAGGAGAAGTTATGCAACCCGTGTGTCAGCTGTGGACTTTCCTCTGTGGAGATGTGGCAATAAGTTATTGAGAAAACCTGCAGATATGATCTCCGTTAGCCGGTGTGAAGCTAAGTGTGAAGAGAACCGGAAACAGCGTCGGGGGCGGGGCTTAGTTCATTCCTGAGAGAGACCCTAATGATGTAAATAAAGGCAAATAATTCGAACTGGGTAGTTTATTTAGCCCCCCAAAAAGTATACGCTGGTTTACAGGCGTTTCTTTCCCAATTCAAGTCAATGGGAAAAAGTATTTTTGAGCCAACATGACGTCACATGAGTTGTAGTACCACCGTTTGGCCGCTACGTTAATAAAAAAAATCAGCTTAAACTTTCCGGTATGAAAAATGCACATATTTGCATTTTAAAAACAACGAAAAGAACACAGGAATATTGATTTACTTGAAAAGTAATAATGTTCTTTTATAGAGACAATGTTAAGTATAATAAATACAAACTAACGGATTGAAATTAAAAAGACATACAGAACGCTTTGTTTTATTTTGAAGGGGAATCTCGTTTAACTTTTATTTCGGCTAACTTGACGCAATGAAACCTATCCTTCCGATCATTTGACTTTTATTTTAACACACATTTCAAACCCTTTGTGTTGTTCAGACGTATTTCATGCAGTTACTTGATCAAATTATATCGGAAGAATCGAAAATAAACGAATGAGAAACTGCGTAGATCTAAATCAGTGTATTCCGGCTGCCCGGGAACACAAATCAAGCGCACCCAAACGCACGTATTTCCAAAATAAAAGCCCTAGTTATTTTACCATAGAATCAAAACTGTCTTATCAAAATCGTTTACAAAGTTTAATTTTGTTTTTGCTTATTTGCCATTATTCAGTTATACGTTTCCTGGACCATCCGTCACTCATTATTTATATATATTTTATATATAACTATTCCTGATATATGTTAGCTTACACAACACACTATATTTTTACAGTTTCAGTTCTGTGTACATTTGTGCCAAAATATAAAGATATTGTCAGTGTTGTCAGTACTTGTACTTCACTACAATTCAGAGTTAAATACATAACTAATCACAACATGTCATATCTATTTTTTCTGAAATGGACCAACATGCACAATGACTACTTTTACTTTTGGTACTTTAAGTATTTCTGGTATTTCCACTTTTACTCAAGTACAAGATCTGAGTACTTCTACTTTTACTCAAGTACAAGATCTGAGTAATTCTACTTTTACTCAAGTACAAGATCTGAGTACTTCTACTTTTACTCAAGTACAATATCTGAGTACTTCTACTTTTACTCAAGTACAAGATCAGGGTACTTCTACTCAAGTACAAGATCTGGGTACTTCTACTTTCACTCGAGTAGGCTACAAGATCTGAGTACTTCTACTTTTACTCGAGTAAAATGTCGAAGTACTTCTACCTTTACTTGAGTACAAGATCTGAGTACTTCTACTTTTACTCAAGTAAGATCTGAGTACTTCTACTTTTACTTGAGTACAATATCTGAGTACTTCTACCTTTACTTGAGTACAATATTTGAGTAGGCTACTTCTACTTTTACTCAAGTAAGATCTTGAGTAGGCCTACTTCTACTTTTACTCAAGTACAATATCTGAGATACTTCTACCGCCTCTGTATGTTTTTAACACGCTAACGGTTTTCCGTTATTATTATCCGTATCTATGGCAACAAGACGTCGAACGCACACCTCCCCTCGGGTCACGTGACCTGCTCTGCTGCTGGCTCGCGGACAAACAACCGACTCCTCCTGCTCTTCAATCTGTAATTCAGCCAGCGGCATGATAGGTAAATCAGAGGTCTGTGGCGAGGATAACCTCCATTAAAACCAGCCGGATACCCGCACAGAGATTACAAAGAGGTACGAGGTAGGTTGTTGTTTATTGTTGTTTATTTCGAACCTTTTCCGTGGCGTGTTTACGGTCTCAAAGATGGCATCGCAGAATGAAGCTAATGTTAGCCACATAGCTAAGCTGCTAGGTCGGGAAATCAAAACAAACTGGTGTTTCATTGCTACATTATTGGTTGTTTTTAGCTTTGTTGTTGCTTAAAGAGGACACATCCTGCTCCTTTTCAGGTTCACACAAGTATTCAGTGCCTCTGACATGTCTCCATGCTTTAATGTTCAAAATGCTCTTTATTTGTCTCATACTGCCTGTGCTGCAGCACCTCTTTTTACCCTCTGTCTGAAACCAGTTTGGTTTGCCTTTGCAGACCATTTACATCCACACAAACCTTTATAACACACTACAGAAACGGGAACACCAAAAAAAGCATAAAACGCTCCTTTAAGTCACCCTGGTAATTGCCATTTTTAGCTCACATCTTCCTTTCCTGCTACTTCGGGAGTCTTTGTCGGAGCTAACCAGAAATGAAATGTGTGCTCAGCCCTATTTACCTGCCTTTTAGCTCAATACATACATCATAAGCTCATTAAATAGTGTTTCTACTGATGTTTGCTTTATCAAGCTGTCCATTAAGAAGGCAGAGACACATCTCCTGGTCAAAGATTATAGTGAAACAATTATGAGATCTTCTGTTTCGGTGTGTGTGTGTGTGTGTGTGTGTGTGTGTGTGTGTGTGTGTGTGTGTGTGTGTGTGTGTGTGTGTGTGTGTGTGTGTGTGTGTGTGTGTGTGTGTGTGTGTGTGTGTGTGTGTGTGTGTGTGTGTGTGTGTGTGTGTGTGTGTGTGTGTGTGGTGTGTGTGTGTGTGTGTGTGTGTGTGTGTGTGTGTGTTTTAAGTAACTAAGTACAAGTAACTACTTAAGTGCAATCTTTAGCTACTTGTACTTTACTTGAGTATTTCCATTTTACGGTACTTTGTACTTCTACTCCTCTACAGTTCAGAGGTAAATGGTGTACTTTTACTCCACTACATGTATTTAATACCTTTAGTTACTTTACAGATCTGGATGAATGATGTGAAATATAATCAAGTGTTAAATCAGAGATAAGATAAGATAAGATGAGATGGTACTTTATTGATCCCAATTTGGGAAATTGTTTTTGTTGCAGCAGCATAAAAGACAAGGCATTTTACAATAAAACAAAACTACAAAATAAACAAGAATAGAAAGAGAAGTAAAATAAAATAGAAAATATACATGCAGATATTATACAAATATATATATATATATATATTCAAAAATATATGGAATATGGAGTATTACATATTAAACAGATTATATATATATATGAGTGAAATGTACAACGTGGTTTTATTTCTAGAGAAACTATGGAGCAGAGAGTTCTCTTCCAGCCAGAGGTGATTTGTTGTACAGAGTTATTGCAGTGGGCAGGAATGTTTTCCAGTATCTGTCCTTGTGACAGCAGTCTGTTGGAGAAGGAGCTCCGCTGACTGTCCAGCTGCAGGTGGAGAGGATGGGTGGGGTTATCTGACTGTCCAGCTGCAGGTGGAGAGGATGGGTGGGGTTATCTGTCTGTCCAGCTGCAGGTGGAGAGGATGGGTGGGGTTATCTGTCTGTCCAGCTGCAGGTGGAGAGGGGGGGTGGGGGTTATCTGTCTGTCCAGCTGCAGGTGGAGAGGGGGGGTGGGGTTATCTGTCTGTCCAGCTGCAGGTGGAGAGGGGGGGGTGGGGGGTTATCTGTCTGTCCAGCTGCAGGTGGAGAGGGGGGGGTGGGGGTTATCTGTCTGTCCAGCTGCAGGTGGAGAGGGGGGGGTGGGGTTATCTGTCTGTCCAGCTGCAGGTGGAGAGGGGGGGGTGGGGTTATCTGTCTGTCCAGCTGCAGGTGGAGAGGGGGGGTGGGGTTATCTGTCTGTCCAGCTGCAGGTGGAGAGGGGGGGTGGGGGTTATCTGTCTGTCCAGCTGCAGGTGGAGAGGATGGGTGGGGTTATCTGTCTGTCCAGCTGCAGGTGGAGAGGGGGGGTGGGGTTATCCATGATGGACAACAGCCTGTTCAGTGTCCTCCTCTCCACCACAGCTTTAAAGGGGTCCAGCTTGATGCTGAGGACAGACCCAGCTTTCCTGATCAGTTTATTCATTTCTTTAAATCAGACTTTAGTTCCACCTGGAGTAAATCCACAAGCTACCCTGCAGTATACAAAGTCATTCAAACTAGCTGCACCTTTTACCAGCTTTGAGAACACTTTCATGATCAATCATTATAAAACATATCATATATATTATTCTGAAATGGACCAATCTGCACAATGACTACTTTTACTGTCGCTACTTTCACTATATTTTTATGAGAATACTTTTCTACTTTCACTTGAGTAACATTTTGAATGAAGGACTTTTGCTGAAACAGAGTATTCCTACACTCTGGTACTTCTACTTTTACTCAAGTACAAGATCTGAGTACTTCTACTTTTACTCAAGTACAAGACCTGAGTACTTCTACTTTTACTCAAGTACAAGACCTGAGTACTTCTACATTTACTCAAGAACAAGATCTGAGTACTTCTACTTTTACTCAAGTACAAGATCTGAAGGATATTCTCTTGTTTCCATTAGAGGCAGTTGAGGTGTTCAGTTTGACCTCACCCTGTGCAAACATGTGCTGTGTGTTATCTTATCAGTAAACATTGGAAATTTCCGCCAAACTCAGGGTTAGAATGACATTAAGACCCTTTAATGTAAACGTCACTATTTGCATCTTATTTGTTTTGTATGCCTTGAACTCAAATATCTTTTTGCATTATTTAATAAGGGGGCCGTTGCTGAGAGAACACTACAAAGCATACTTTCCCCAAACTTCGCACGACATTTTGTATGTAATAAATACGTATATAAGCTTAGAAACTGAAAGTATTAATCAATAATACATTTATCCAGATGGTCAATCCACAGGAAATGAATCTACAGTTATTTTAAATATTGATTGATCGCATTCAATAAAGAAAAATGCTATTTCTTTCTGATTCTAGACGGTCAAATGTGAGGAATTACAGTTTAATCACGTTGTAAATTAAATATTTTAAGCATTTTATACTGTTGGTTAAACAAAATAAGCAGCATGAAAGCAACACTTTTTCCATTACTTTCTGAATTGCAAAATGGTTTAATTTAAATATAATGCTTTAGTTTAAAGTCATATTTACTGAATAATAATCACTAGCTGCCGCTCCGATAAACATCCATCATCATACAAGAAAGAAATGCAACATTTCAGCAAGAAAATAGGCCTCTACAATAGTTAAACAAATCCAGTAAAAATAGGCTAAACTCAAATGAAAGAATAAACAATTTAGGTTACACTATAGATTAAGGTTCACATATCCACCGGCAACTAGTTGTTCTTTAACATATTAGAGTCAAACTACTAGCTTATTGGTTATGAACAAGACTTCACTTTGAAATGGGGAACATATTCTGAGTTAGAAAAACGTCATTTTGACACAATTAACACTTTTAGTTTCATGTCTTGTTACATAAGAATATATTTGTTAGGTGATATTATGAGAGAATGCCTTATTAGGCCCATATTGAGCATATTAAGACCCAAACTCATGTACAACAACGTCCCTAATTACAATAAATAAGCACTAATTAGAGGGTTATTAAGGACAAACTCTTAACTAGAACTTGTAGAATATGGTCTTGTAGAATAAGGCATTAATATGCGTTTTATAACGACTAATAAAGAGCCAATATACTGCTAATATACATGTTAATTAACAACTAGTTGATGGCGAATATATGTGCTTTAAAATAAAGTGTTACCACAACTTAGATTGTCTTTCTTTCATTTTGGTTTTATTATAACTTAACGTTTAAAAACCACGTCTCGACCACGTCTTGTTGTCCATCTCTGTGTTTCCTGAAAGGCTGTCTTTTACAGACGCTTGACTACAAATGTTCCTTTTTCACCCAAAACAAAAGACTGGCTCTAACAATAACCTTTCAATTTGAGATTTTTCCCATCTATGTTTTTGATAAATAATTGGACATGGCATTCAGGGTCGCCAAAGCTCCACATCTCAACAGCTTTTTGTTTCAGTTTATGTGCCGGTCATCATGCGGCCAGCTGTTTTCATTTCCTCTTTGCATGGTTAGTCTGCACATGCCCCGACACATTGAGAAATCTGCTGAGTGGCTCATCATTTAGAGCAGGGGTGGGGAGCCTCCGGGCCGTATACGGTCCGCGAGACCATTTGATACGGCCCTCGAGGTAATTTATAAACACACGCAATAAAATTAAAAATTAAAATCTAGACCGCAATAGAATTAAACAAGTGACTGATTGTTTTTCCTGGCCAAGGTCAGGTTCCTTGAACACAACACGAGCGTAACGTGTCATCACGTGGTATATCTCACGTCACGTCTTCAATATTAAACGAGACTGTCATTGATAGGCGTGTGGTGCAGTGGATTGTGCGTTGGTGTTGGGATCAGGGGGTCACAGGTTCAAACCCCACTGCAGTCAGCATGTCGTTGTGTCCCTGAGACACTTCACCCCAAAGTGCTCCTGTGGGGATTGTCCACAGTATTGAGTATGTAAGTCGCTTTGGATAAAAGCGTCTAACAAGTGACATGTCATGTAATGTAATGATAGCAGCGAACTTAATATGGCGAGTATTAAAAAGAGAAAGGTGGATGCAGAATGTCGGACTCTCCAGGAGGAATGGACGGATGATTATGTTCACCTGGTTTTGCTGTGTTAGTTTCTGTTGTGTTTGAGTTTAGTATCCAGTGTTCCTCAGTTTGTTGCATTTAAGTTTTCATTACATTCCTGGAATTCAAGGTACCTGCTATGAGTGTCTGCATGTTGGTCCGTACGCCTTTTACAGACTCTCCAAAGCATAACATGAAAACATTGAACATAAAACAGAAAGATATCTGGATTAAGAGGTTGCTTTTTCTCTGCACAGCATGAAAGAAAGGCGAAATGAATGCATTTTTTTAAGCAGAGGTTGAGTTCAATCATTTCTACGGCCCTCGGAGGATGTTGTGAAAATTAAAATGGCCCTTGAGAGGAAAAAGGTTCCCCACCCCTGCTCTAGACCCTTCTTTAAAATAAATCACCTTTTTCTTGATGCTCACTGAACCTCTTCTGAACCACGCTCATCCTGAGAGCAGCTGCCAGGAGAAATACTTGTGTTTCACTGTTGTTATACACACGAGTGACCTTGTAGTTGTTCTGTAAAATATCCCAAGATGCAGTAGCACTGATAAAAGCAGAGTAAACGCCTGAACCTTGAACTCAAAAACACCCGTAAACGTTTTGTTTAGCTGGAAGTCTCAAGTCCATGCTTTCCTGTAAAAGAAACTGTCCACTTTCACGAGATGTCAACACCGAACAGTGACAGTGTGACCGGAAGATAAGGGGGAAGTTAGATAAGATAAAGTCATGACGGTTACATTTTGGTTCCTAAAAATGTGGGCGAATGTTTGCAATGACTCAGGGGGTGGACAGCAAAGCCTCGTGCAAACCCTCGAAATAAAACCTAATAAAAAATAAGGAAAACTGTCTTTAGTTGCAGCCCTCACTTTGGTATTTAATGATTTAACAATGTCAAGTGTACCACCATATATTTATCAAGAGTTTGTGCAAAGTCTCAAGGTTCAGAAAATGTGTTTCAAGCTTAGAAATGTGCTTGAGTTTTACATTTACTGTCCATGCGATCAACACACATTTTCACTATTAGGAATAATGTTAATAAAATCCTGTGGTTATGTTGGTTTTTGTGTCTCCTCACCCTAGCAGAATTGGAGCTAACTTAGCACTAAATAAGCACAATTATACAATCAAAGTTAATATATGAACAGCTGGTAAAATATGCATTGATTGCTTAGGATTACATTTATGGTAACAAACTAAATGGTGTATGTGAAATATTTAGTTTTGCATTTTTCTGCACGAGCCCTTTATATCACCGTCTCCAATTTACTATGACATTGAAATGAATTCCTCTGGATTATGGGTCACTGATGGAAAGATGCGGCATGCTTTTTATTTCTTTAACAGCCAGATCAGAAGTCCTTTTATACGTCCCACAGCGTGGATATATTTGAACATTGTAATTATTGTCTTATATCATTTATTTAAAGGTAGGGTAGGTAAGTTTGAGAAACCGGCTGGAGATACACTTTTTGTTATATTCCATGGAATGCTCTTAACATCCCGATAGCAATGAATATCTGAAGTGCTTTGACAAAAAATCCATTAAAAAATATCATCTGTGGAAGCTGTGGTACTGTAAAAAGCACGACCAATCATCTGAGCCGGCCCGGCTAAAATAACTGGATGGCCTACCTGCCTGTCAGCCTTCCATCTGTGCACAAACTTATCTGGTGTCCTCATTGGTCATGTGCGCGTTCGTGTGTGTTGGAGGAGGGGCTCTGTGAGGAAGTGGCAGATTTTCTCCGGTTGTGTATTTTCAAATTCTAGCTCACTCGACCTGGTTTCTCAAATTTACCTACCCCACCTTTAAACAAGCCGTTGTAAAATTGACGTCATAACCGACCGCAGCTGCTCAGACAGGTTTTTATAGAAATAGATCAGGACAAAAAGAGAGAGAATCTTTTTTCCTGAAACTTTCAGAGTCTCTTTCCACAGAGGGGACACATGTTGATGAAGAAGAGACATGAAGAAGAGGGGACACATGTTGATGAAGAAGAGACATGAAGAAGAGGGGACACATGTTGATGTAGAAGAGACATGAAGAAGAGGGGACACATGTTGATGTAGAAGAGACATGAAGAAGAGGGGACACATGTTGATGTAGAAGAGACATGAAGAAGAGGGGACACATGTTGATGTAGAAGAGACATGAAGAAGATGGGACACATGTTGATGTAGAAGAGACATGAAGAAGAGGGTACACATGTTGATGTAGAAGAGACATGAAGAAGAGGGGACACATGTTGATGTAGAAGAGACATGAAGAAGAGGGGACACATGTTGATGTAGAAGAGACATGAAGAAGAGGGGACACATGTTGATGTAGAAGAGACATGAAGAAGAGGGGACACATGTTGATGTAGAAGAGACATGAAGAAGAGGGGACACATGTTGATGTAGAAGAGACATGAAGAAGAGGGGGACACATGTTGATGTAGAAGAGACATGAAGAAGAGGGGACACATGTTGATGTAGAAGAGACATGAAGAAGAGGGGACACATGTTGATGTAGAAGAGACATGAAGAAGAGGGGACACATGTTGATGTAGAAGAGACATGAAGAAGAGGGGACACATGTTGATGTAGAAGAGACATGAAGAAGAGGGTACACATGTTGATGTAGAAGAGACATGAAGAAGAGGGGACACATGTTGATGTAGAAGAGACATGAAGAAGAGGGGACACATGTTGATGTAGAAGAGACATGAAGAAGAGGGGACACATGTTGATGTAGAAGAGACATGAAGAAGAGGGGACACATGTTGATGTAGAAGAGACATGAAGAAGAGGGGGACACATGTTGATGTAGAAGAGACATGAAGAAGAGGGGACACATGTTGATGTAGAAGAGACATGAAGAAGAGGGGACACATGTTGATGTAGAAGAGACATGAAGAAGAGGGGACACATGTTGATGTAGAAGAGACATGAAGAAGAGGGTACACATGTTGATGTAGAAGAGACATGAAGAAGAGGGGACACATGTTGATGTAGAAGAGACATGAAGAAGAGGGGACACATGTTGATGTAGAAGAGACATGAAGAAGAGGGGACACATGTTGATGTAGAAGAGACATGAAGAAGAGGGTACACATGTTGATGTAGAAGAGACATGAAGAAGAGGGTACACATGTTGATGTAGAAGAGACATGAAGAAGAGGGGACACATGTTGATGTAGAAGAGACATGAAGAAGAGGGGACACATGTTGATGTAGAAGAGACATGGAGAAGAGGGGACACATGTTGATGAAGAAGAGGGGACACATGTTGATGAAGAAGAGACATGAAGAAGAGGGGACACATGTTGATGTAGAAGAGACATGAAGAAGAGGGGACACATGTTGATGTAGAAGAGACATGAAGAAGAGGGGACACATGTTGATGTAGAAGAGACATGAAGAAGAGGGGACACATGTTGATGTAGAAGAGACATGAAGAAGAGGGGACACATGTTGATGTAGAAGAGACATGAAGAAGAGGGGACACATGTTGATGTAGAAGAGACATGAAGAAGAGGGGACACATGTTGATGAAGAAGAGACATGAAGAAGAGGGGACACATGGAGAAGAGGGGACACATGTTGATGAAGAAGAGACATGAAGAAGAGGGGACACATGTTGATGTAGAAGAGACATGAAGAAGAGGGGACACATGGAGAAGAGAGGACACATGTTGATGAAGAAGAGACATGAAGAAGAGGGGACACATGGAGAAGAGGGGACACATGTTGATGTAGAAGAGACATGGAGAAGAGGGGACACATGTTGATGTAGAAGAGACATGAAGAAGAGGGGACACATGGAGAAGAGGGGACACATGTTGATGAAGAAGAGACATGAAGAAGAGGGGACACATGTTGATGAAGAAGAGACATGGAGAAGAGGGGACACATGTTGATGTAGAAGAGACATGAAGAAGAGGGGACACATGGAGAAGAGGGGACACATGTTGATGAAGAAGAGACATGAAGAAGAGGGGACACATGTTGATGTAGAAGAGACATGGAGAAGAGGGGACACATGTTGATGAAGAAGAGACATGAAGAAGAGGATTTTGCATGATAGGTGACCTTTAAGTAAAGAGTCAACCAAACGTACCTGAGCTTATTGCTACTTGTGGATATATGAATGTTTGGTTTCGACAGAACTACAACAGCGTTACAGAAAATTTGACTTTTTTCTAGTCACTCTTCCCCCTGTGAACTTCTTCATCTCTGACGATATCGATTCCTACTGACCACTCTTTAATTGAACTGATATCTTGTTCTTCTTTCTGTTCTGCTAGTTGTCGATGCTGGACTCCCTGATTCCCCGGTATTAGGATCTGAGAGACATGATGGCCTCCAGCGACGTGGACACTAGAGAAGGTAAAGAAATCAAATGACATTCTCTTTTTGGGTCACTAATGGCGCGTTTCCACTACTCGGCCTCGCTCGGTATGGCTAGGCCTCGTTAGGACTGGCTCACTTTATGGCGCATTTCCATTACAATTTAGGAACTGGGGTAGTATCTATGGTAACGCAGTGTAGGCGGAGCCGTGACGTCATCTTCAATGAGAACCCCAGAAAAACAACACAGCCGTTAGCTGTTAGCACTCAGAGCTCACAGCTCCTTATATATGTTCAGAAACTAGACAAAAGTTAAACAAGTACAAACCACAGACTGCCTGTGTCATGGTGAATACAGTCACTGCTTTTATTTATGTCTGTATAGGCCGTTGTTGTGAGTGTGGACGGTCGGAGCATATACTGCGTTAGCTTAGCCAATCTCCATCTAGAAAGCACGCATTTTAAAAGGTTTTTCGCCTGCCGTCTGTCTGCAGACTTGTCAAAGCATTAATTCATGGTTTTTACTAACCGGTATCAGTATGTTGTTACTTCGGCATCATTTTGAAACGTGTATTACAATTAAATCACGGACAAATATGTCCATCTTGTTGTAGTTGTAGCCCCCTTGCCAGCGATTCTCTCTCTAGTTTAGCATACTCAGCCCGACTCAGCCTCGTTGTCTCTGGCCCTAGACCCACGATTTTATGAGGCCAGAAAAACTGACTTGGTGAGAGGAACATAAATGATGGATAATTGGAATATACTGTACTTTGGTTATAGCTAATGCAGTATAATATATTTCACTTTATATAATGTAATGTATTGTAAAGTGGGATCATATGTAATCCCCAATAGAAGGTAGACAGCTTGGGGGTTGTTTGGATCCGCTGGCGTCTTGTTTGGCCGGAGATCTGAACAGTAACATTAAATATTCAACATGTTGTGATAAAGGCACCGTCTGTATGATCTGTGGTTGGTTTTGAATTAGCTTTGCATCGCTGTTTTGCATTTCTCTGTAGTCTCATGTTGTTCTTTTTGTGTCTCTTTGTAGTACTTTAGAGTTTCTTAGCAATTGTTTATATATTCCTCTGTCGTAATTTTGTGTTTCTTTGTCGTTAGTTTTAGTCTGTGGTAGGGCTGTGCGATTATGACAAAAATCATAATCACGATTATTTGGGTCAATAATAAATTATTAAATACGATTATTCATTGACTTTGAAAACATCCATTTATTGAACTTTAAAACAAATACAAATAATAATTTGAACAGTATCTTTTTAACTGTTGATTACCCTGAACGTATCATTCAACTGAAAAACTTTAAATAAATAATATCAAAATAATAAATACCAATAAACAAGATCAACAAATATTTTGGAGCGCACTTCCACAAGCTACTAAACATATATAAATATGATAAATACAAATAAATTAGATCAAATATGTTGCACTGTCACAACCAAGCAAAGCAAAATAATCGTTTTTTTCGATTATGTTGTTTTCGTAATTGTGGCAGGTCAAAATCGTAATTGCGATTAAAATACGATTAATTGCACAGCCCTAGTCTGTGGTTGGTTCCTCTGTGTTTGTTCAAAGGTTTGCACGTGATTTGAAACTAATGTAAACTCCACTGAAGCCTGCAAAGTATTAAAGTGTCAGATTATTAAACACGTCTACACACCAACCCAAGCACCGCTGCACGGCTTCTTATCTTTTTAAAGGTGTTTTCTTTCCTATTTCAAACTTATAAACAGACAAACTAAATAATTGCTATCATGTGTTAGTCAGCTGGTTTGCAAGAGATATTTAAGATGGAATTTCTGTCAAATTAGGGACTGTGCCTTTTAATAGCTGTGGGGATTTGGTGCAAAGCTAAAAAATGTTGACTAAATAAACGTTACTGTAAGGCATGAAGTGACTGAGTTGTATTTTTAAAAATCAGCTCTGATTGTAGTTCTTATCTTTAGACAGACATATACATTACTCACATTTATGATATGGTTGGGTTATAGTGTTCTTAATCGTCGTTTACATTTGCTCTCTGTTGCAAAGTGCACTACGTTTGTTTTATGACCGTGACAGTGACACTCCTTCATCAAACATCAGGAGGAGATTGTTTATTTAGCGACAATAAACTGCACTGACCTCAACTTACACAAACTCACCTCTTCAAACTGGCTTTTACATTACATTACTTGTTAGACGCTTTTATCCAAAGCGACTTACGTACTCAATACTGTGGGCAATCACCACCGGAGTCTCCCCTGATCCCAACACCAACGCGCTACCCACTGCGCCACACGCCTCCCTCCTTTTAATGTGTGATTGCTGTTTTATTGCTCGATTTTAATGTGACTTTTACTATATTTATTTGTTGTCCGTTTTTACTCCCTCTGTAAAGCGACTTTGAGCACCTGTAAAAGGTTTTCCAAATACATTTATTATTATTATTATTTATTATAAACGTCTTGAACCCTAAGCAATGTAATATCTTTTAAATTCTACACATGTTTTTATTAATTTCAAGGTTTTCTTAAAGGGCCCATGTCATGCTTTTCTGGTTATCACCCGTCCCCTTGTGTTGTGTAGCTTCTGCATGTAAACGGTCTGCAGAGTCACAAACCCTCAGAGTACACCCTGTAGCGAGTAAAACTCTAACACAGAAAAGACCTGTCTATGCTGCCCCAGAACGCCTCGTTGGACATTTCTCTTTTTCTTCCTGGGTACAGTGACGTTACGTTACACACACACACACACTCAATCTTTTCTCAGCTGCAGCTCCTCCGATTTCTCCTGCCTGAGACGGCGGGACTCGGCGAGGCGGTGTGTGAGCAAACACACAGACTCCCAGCCAGGCTGCGGGTGTGTGTGCTCGGGCTGGGTTTCGCTGTGTCTCGCTGTCTCTCAGACGGCCACTGGGCTCACAGGGAGGGGGGGGGGCAGGAGCTCCAACAAGCCGTTTAGGACAGAGAGTGAATACACATACTATACAGAGATGCTGAATGAGAAAAAGTGAGTTTGGAAAATTGCACAATATAAATCTATTCTATTAGACCTCAACAATGGAATTATGATCAGTAGAAATGGCCATTACATTGGACCTTTAAACCCTTTTGTATTGCCGTTCAGTCTTTCGAAGTTTAAGGAAGAGGTGAACAGAGATCAGAACAAAAGTGCATTTTGTTTTTTCTGAGATTGAAGTCCAAATTCAGCGAAAAAAGTCAAATCTGAGAAAAAAGTCCGAATTCAGACAAATCTATGGCCGCACAATTAGCATTTTCACTGTGTGAGGAAGCGCACACACTCCCTCACCAACATTTTGGCTTAACTATTTGTTTGTTAAGAAAGGTAGTACATGTACACAGTTGTCTTTATTTCAGTTAAAGATAAAAACAGTTTAATTAAATAAAGTGCATCTAAATGAATTTGTCAGTCTTTAAAACTATTTACATGACATGTCACTTGTTAGACGCTTTTATCCAAAGGGACTTACATACTCAATACTGTGGACAATCCCCACAGGAACAATTTGGGGTGAAGTGTCTCAGGGACACAACGACATGCTGACTGCAGTGGGGTTTGAACCTGTGACCCCCTGATCCCCCTGATCCGATCACCAATGCACTAACCCACTGCGCCACACGCCTCCCTTAAAACACACAATCACAAAGTATAAGAAGAATGTGTGTTTGTTCCTTGCTGGTGAACGCAGCACCAGGCATGACGTTTTGTGTTCCTGTAAAAGAATATGGAAGGCTAAGAAATAAAACGCCTGTTTATTTTTGAAAGAAGACCCTCTCTCCACGTATCGTTTTGTCACCTGCACCTCACGTTGTAACACACTGCATTCAGATACTTGTTGGTTCTTCCACCTGCTGCAAACAAACCTGAATTAAGACAGTGTTAAAAAAGCAGACTAACAACTGCAGGAAACATTTGGTTCAACCCTAATTTATGGTCATCATTCATGTGGATAAAGTCCAATACAAGTCTAACAATATTGATTCATAAAGCTAAATTCTCAGTCCGTATGCAAGTGTGTGCAGAGGCTTGGGAATTAAGTAAATGTGGTAATATCATGAGGAATGTTTGAACAAAGTGGTAAAGAGAGAAGATGTTATCGTCATGACGTTCCCACATATTATCAGTGCTGTGCGACAAAAGGCCTCACTCACTTTCTAATCTTTGCCCGTCTCTTCTCCCCTCTTTCTTTCTTTTGACTTCAGGTACTTTGTTTTCAGACCAGAATCCCTCAGAAATGGACGCTCTGTGTCCCTCTCCTCCCGGACCGACCCGACCCCAACGCCTCTACGAGAGGATCGGAGGACGGGAAGGAACCTCGTAAGTATTTTAAAATCTAATAGTGTTGTGCAGGGATTTTGTAGGCGACCAGGAAGATAGCATCTCCCTGGTTCCCTCGACAAAAAGCCAATAGGATTTATGATACTGACACGTTTAGTTCATTACCTTACATGTTACATTACATGTCACTTGTTAGACGCTTTTATCCAAAGCGACTTACATACTCAATACTGTGGGCAATCCCCACAGGAGCAATTTGGGGTGAAGTGTATTGCCCAGGGACACAACGACATGCTGACTGCAGTGGGGTTTGAACCTGTGCTCCCCTGATCCGAACACCAACGCACAACCCACTGCACCACACGCCTCCCAGTTCAGCAGAATAATCTCCACACATTAACACCACTTTATGATTTCTGAAGTAAAAAGCTCACATTAGGCTATAAAGGAACTACAGCACGGTCACATGACTTCACGTCACCACCGCTAAGCTAAAGGTGGCTAATGTTGGGTTATAAAGGAACTACAGCACGGTCACATGACTTCACGTCACCAACGCTAAGCTAAAGGTGGCTAATGTTGGGCTATAAAGGAACTACAGCACGGTCACATGACTTCACGTCACCACCGCTAAGCTAAAGGTGGCTAATGTTGGGTTATAAAGGAACTACAGCACGGTCACATGACTTCACGTCACCAACGCTAAGCTAAAGGTGGCTAATGTTGGGCTATAAAGGAACTACAGCACGGTCACATGACTTCACGTCACCACCGCTAAGCTAAAGGTGGCTAATGTTGGGTTATAAAGGAACTACAGCACGGTCACATGACTTCACGTCACCAACGCTAAGCTAAAGGTGGCTAATGTTGGGCTATAAAGGAACTACAGCACGGTCACATGACTTCACGTCACCACCGCTAAGCTAAAGGAGGCTAATGTTGGGCTATAAAGGAACTACAGCACGGTCACATGACTTCACGTCACCACCACTAAGCTAAAGGTGGCTAATGTTGGGCTATAAAGGAACTACAGCACGGTCACATGACTTCACGTCACCACCGCTAAGCTAAAGGAGGCTAATGTTGGGCTATAAAGGAACTACAGCACGGTCACATGACTTCACGTCACCACCGCTAAGCTAAAGGCGGCTAATGTTGGGCTATAAAGGAACTACAGCACGGTCACATGACTTCACGTCACCACCGCTAAGCTAAAGGTGGCTAATGTTGGGCTATAAAGGAACTACAGCACGGTCACATGACTTCACGTCACCACCGCTAAGCTAAAGGAGGCTAATGTTGGGCTATAAAGGAACTACAGCACGGTCACATGACTTCACGTCACCACCGCTAAGCTAAAGGTGGCTAATGTTGGGCTATAAAGGAACTACAGCACGGTCACATGACTTCACGTCACCACCGCTAAGCTAAAGGTGGCTAATGTTGGGCTCTAAAGGAACTACAGCACGGTCACATGACTTCACGTCACCACCGCTAAGCTAAAGGAGGCTAATGTTGGGCTATAAAGGAACTACAGCACGGTCACATGACTTCACGTCACCACCGCTAAGCTAAAGGTGGCTAATGTTGGGCTATAAAGGAACTACAGCACGGTCACATGACTTCACGTCACCACCGCTAAGCTAAAGGTGGCTAATGTTGGGCTATAAAGGAACTACAGCACGGTCACATGACTTCACGTCACCACCGCTAAGCTAAAGGTGGCTAATGTTGGGCTATAAAGGAACTACAGCACGGTCACATGACTTCACGTCACCACCGCTAAGCTAAAGGTGGCTAATGTTGGGCTATAAAGGAACTACAGCACGGTCACATGACTTCACGTCACCACCGCTAAGCTAAAGGAGGCTAATGTTGGGCTATAAAGGACTACAGCACGGTCACATGACTTCACGTCACCACCGCTAAGCTAAAGGTGGCTAATGTTGGGCTATAAAGGAACTACAGCACGGTCACATGACTTCACGTCACCACCGCTAAGCTAAAGGTGGCTAATGTTGGGCTATAAAGGAACTACAGCACGGTCACATGACTTCACGTCACCACCGCTAAGCTAAAGGAGGCTAATGTTGGGCTATAAAGGAACTACAGCACGGTCACATGACTTCACGTCACCACCGCTAAGCTAAAGGAGGCTAATGTTGGGCTCTAAAGGAACTACAGCACGGTCACATGACTTCACGTCACCACCGCTAAGCTAAAGGTGGCTAATGTTGGGCTATAAAGGAACTACAGCACGGTCACATGACTTCACGTCACCACCGCTAAGCTAAAGGTGGCTAATGTTGGGCTATAAAGGAACTACAGCACGGTCACATGACTTCACGTCACCACCACTAAGCTAAAGGTGGCTAATGTTGGGCTATAAACTAACTACAGCACGGTCACATGACTTCACGTCACCACCGCTAAGCTAAAGGTGGCTAATGTTGGGCGTGATGAAGTTTACTCGTCTCATTTAGACACTTGTTAGCAACCTCTGTTTTTAAATTCACCAGTGGGGTATTTACTGACGTATTTTATGTCGTAGAACAAAACGTTAAAATGTCTTCATCTTGTTTTGACCACAGACCTTATTTCAGGATAACAACCAAATCCACATTCTGAAAACCATTGACATTGAGAATGGAAACCGAACTGTTAAAGTGCCGAGTCATTTCTGGGTTTTAGGACCTCCTGCACTCTATATGCACTAAACAGCCATTATTCTAGTTGAAATGAATACGATACGATAATACTTTAATGGTCAGATCAAGCCTGAAATGCTCCTTGCATCACAGCAGCTCCATGTGTAACATCAACATGGACACATATCAAGACACAACACATGAAAAACTAACAACAAACATTTAACATAACAGCAGGATCAGTGAGAGAAAAGCTGCTCAAAGAGCCTTCAGCGTGCATCTGATCTGGATTCAGCTCTGTGTTTACTGAGAGCACAAAGGATGCTTCAGGCTGACTTTATTTAATCTCCCATTAGATGCTAGCAGTTCATATTCTCTGTTCAGAACATGCGTTGGGTCCCAGATGATGTTGTTGGACAGCCTTACTAGGTTATTATGGTCTGCTGAGTCATAGAGTCTCTGACAGGGTGGACCAACAATCTTTGAGCAGATTTTTAACAGGTGGAGCAGTTTTGATTTTAATATAATATTAAATTATAATAATTATAATAATTTAATATATTTGGCCTGTTTCTAACGCAGATGTCTCTTTCCTCCCCAGTTTTTGCCAGACTCTGATCCACCTGTTGAAAGGGAACATCGGTACGGGGCTGCTGGGTTTGCCTCTGGCGGTGAAGAACGCCGGCCTGGTGGTGAGTACACTCAGATTGTATTATCTCATAATTACACGGGGTCACATGACGGGTCTGGAGACACATAATTAGATTCTGCTGAGCGTCCTGTCAGATGTTCACGGCCTCATGCAGACATCAGGCTTTGTTCGTCAGCTTCATATTTGTGGGAGGAAAGTACATTTGGAAATCGTTTATATTGGCTATACTTTTTGGCCTTTTACATTCAGCTTCTGTCCTGTTTTTATGGGGTTTGTTTTTTAGATATCTTAAAAGGAGTGAGATGTCTTTTGAATTAAAGACATCAGGAACAATTCATTTCCTGGATAGGCTTGGAAAATCCGTTATGAGGGAAGTTAATTGTACTTGAAATGTCTTTCTGATGTTCCAGCAGCATTGCCTCCACCCTGCTTCACAGCATCATGTAGAGAGCTGTGTCTGCGGTGTGAAAAAACATAATTACACGTTGCACCAAAGTGAAACATTGCTTGGTCCAAATTAAGATTAAAATTAGAGAGGACTTTTTACCCTTATAAACATCCTTTATCCTTTTTTTATCCTTATCTTAAAAATTCTAAAAGTTAAAAAACAAAAAGTAATGAACTCTACATCTATAGTTAAGGTTTTAAATCAATATTAAACATTTTCCACTGGGTTTTCTGATGGAGAAAATGTAATGTTGATATGACCGCACATAGTCCCTCGATCCCTTAGCAACGGTCTGCTCTCCTTGGCAACAGTCTGCTCTCCTTAGCAACGGTTTGCTGTCTCTTTAGCAACGGTCTGCTCTCCTTAGCAACGGTTTGCTGTCTCCTTAGCAACGTTCTGCTCTCCTTAGCAACGGTCTGCTCTCCCTAGTAACGGTCTGCTCTCCTTAGCAACGGTCTGCTCTCCCTAGCAATGGTCTGCTCTCCTTAGCAACGGTCTGCTCTCCTTAGCAAGGTCTGCTCTCCTTAGCAACGGTCTGCTCTCCTTAGCAACGGCCTGCTTTCGAAAAAAACAACAGACCTCTGGAAGGTTCAAATTTGACCAATCGGAATGGTGTATTAAACTAATCCTTGTAATAATAGAATATAACACAATCCCTGTAAGATCCTCACTTTAACTGTACCCTAGAAACATATCTATAGACAAGATGGGTTTCAGTAATATGTTAGATTAGTATTAAATAAATAAATGTAATTTTCACCTGATAAATCTCTGACTTCCTGTTTGTTTTTCAGCTCGGCCCCATCAGTTTACTGTGTATAGGGGTGATAGCGATCCACTGTATGACGGTGCTGGTGAAATGTTCCCACTACCTCAGTATAAAGTGAGTACAAACACACTTTACTATGTGTGTGTGTGTGTGTGTGTGTGTGTGTGTGTGTATGCAATTAATTGTGTCTCACCTCTAATAATATGCTGCTTTGTTGATTTATTTATTTATTATGAGTATGAATTTGTTATAACATTAGTTAGCTGCGGTTAGCTCTACAAACAGGACCTAATGTGACTACCTGCTAAATGTTTGTGTTACCAATACAAATACAACCATTATGTTTTATAGCTGAACCGATGTAGAAGTAGACTATGACCCATTATGTGTTTTATTGACGTTTGAGTGTCATCTGAGGTGACTAACGCGCTTAAGATCAGATCAGATTTGTATTAGTGTGTGTACTCTTTGCCCTCTTCACACTGGGATGCACTCATCCTGCTCCACCCAGCATGCAAACAGGATTACACAGATACACAGTGTGGATAAAGAGCTAAAAAAAACAAGCTTCAGACACGGCTATTACAAAGACAAGAAGTCACTTATCATTTGGAGAATTGTAGAGGGAAATGCCCATGAGAAAACAGACGCTCTTCCTGCTTTTGAGGATTCATTATTACAGAGTCATTGCTTCCTCTTATCGATAAAGCATTTAAATAAAAACTTGGGGGGCAGTTCCCATCTTTATCTTACTTCACTGCAAAGACATTTCCTACAACTTCCATTTTAGGCTTTTTTTTCATTGTCTGTGAGTGTCTGATTGAATACAAACAGATTAAAAACATTGATAATATCCTCATATTAAAGCAGAATCTGTGTTCAGAGGTTGTCTCAGTGGCCGTGTCTTTAACTCAAAGTGATAATATAATTAAAATAGATGAATGCAAAGTCAATAACGGGTGTGATGTGTTTCAGGGTGAACAGGGCGTCTCTGACGTACGGAGAGGCGATGCAGTACGGGATGGAGAACGTTTCCTGGCTGAGGAGACACTCGCAGTGGGGAAAGTAAGACACATGTTCAGAGATGGCAAAAGTACACACATCCTGTACTCAAGTAGAAGTACAGATACTCGTGTTTAAAAATACTCTGGTAGAAGTACTGACTAAACTTCTTTACTGAAGTCAAAGTAAAGAGGGCTTTGAAATGTACTTCAGTAAAAAGTACCCATAACTAGCAGCTGTTTTAAAGAGTACCTGACCTCCCTTTATATTAATAGAACAATAATGTCATTGTTAGCTAATGAATGTTTCCATGCTGAACAACGGCAACATGACAACGTTTTCATTGGTCCCTCTTCTTTAGAGAAGACCAGGAAATGATGGATACACGGATCGTGTTCAAATCAATAGGCACGCAATGACTCTAAATAATAATGATCACGCCACCAGACACACATTCAAACTAAAGGAACCAGCCTGTTTGGGAAATGTAAGAAGTAGAAAGTACAGGTATTTGTGTTCAACATGTAAGAAGTAGAAAGTACAGGTATTTGTGTTCAACATGTAAGAAGTAGAAAGTACAGGTATTTGTGTTCAACATGTAAGAAGTAGAAAGTACAGGTATTTGTGTTCAACATGTAAGAAGTAGAAAGTACAGGTATTTGTGTTCAACATGTAAGAAGTAGAAAGTACAGGTATTTGGGTTCAACATGTAAAAGTCAAAAGTCTTCAGAAAAATAAGTAGTGGAATACCAGTACTGATACCAGAAAAATGTACTTAAGTACAGTAACGAAGTATTTGTACTCCAATACTTCCCACCTCTGTTCCTAATACAGCAGTCAGTGTGTCATCAGGGTAGAAATACAGCTTCAGAAGCTCTCCCAAACAATGCGTAATGTTTATAGGGCTTTTATATTGTTTAAGAATTTCCTAATCATTTCTATAAATAAGATAAATTAGTATCAAAAATCATAACGTAATACATGTTGTCTTCCTCCCTCTCAGAGTGACGGTGAATGTGTTTCTGATCATCACTCAGCTCGGATTCTGCTGTGTCTACTTCGTCTTCCTCAGTGACAACATCAAGCAGGTACACGCACACACACACACACACACACACACACACACATCAGAGTAACATTAAGTACAGTCCGCGGCACTGTGAGTGCAGACGTAGATGTGTCCCATTATCATTCATATCATATCACATCATAATGTATCATATATTTCCTTATCTGAGTCAGCTGAGCCGTATCTGGCCGTGCAACACTCACAGTGTCACATACTGTATGCAGAAGTATTATTTTAAGCAACACATTAAGTTGACGAAACACTCGAGTCAAATGTAATTAAAGTCAGATCGTGTCTTAGACGGGGCAGTGATTTCATAAACCTGTTAATGTACGCATTCAAACACTTTCTCTGTTACCAGCTGTATTCACCTTGCAGGTGCAGCTATGTGGCTTTGATCCTGGATAAAGTGTTTAAGTCATGGATGTTTAAAGTTTAACTTCTTCATATTTGTCTAATATTATACTTTACTTTTCATTCAGGAAGTACGACGCTGCGCTGTCAGTACGCTTGTCCATGTTTGTGATTGGTCAAATGTTGCTAACCCCGCCCCTTTCATGTGAACGCGCACATAACTAGATAGGGCAAAGCTGGCTTGAGTTAACGAGTCGATAACCAGCGTTGTAGGACCGCTTAGTGAGAGCGCGTTTGTTTTGGATTAGGTAAGCCGGGTAACTCAAACATATCCAGGTTAGGTTGAACCGGCTTCGTAGTATAGGCCTCTGGTCTGGAGGTCAATGGTTTTCTGAATGTGTTTTTGGTTGTTATCCTGAAATATGATCTGAGATGGTTTAACGTTTTGTCCTACGACACAAAATAAGTCAGTCAATTCCCAACTGGTGAATGTCTGAAGCTTCTAGGTGTCATACAAAAAACAGTGGGTTCTAAGAGGTAGAAAGTAAAAGACACTAGGGCTGTATCGATTATATCGTTATCGTGATATGAGGTTAGATATCGACTTAGATTTGTCATATATGTCTCCTTCTTGTGTTGAATGCTGGATTAGAGTAAAGTGATGTCATTTCCAACTTCTCTTGTTCATGTCATTGTCTAAGTATTCAATAAAAGCACCAATAGCTAACCCAACAATGTCGTCAAAATATCAATATCAAGGTTTTTGATGCTTACTTTCCCGGGTCGTTCTCCAAAAACGTAATCACAGATGTGGATGAATGATGTGAAATATAATCAAGTGTTAAATCAGACTTTAGTTCCACCTGGAGTAAATCCACAAGCTACCCTGCAGTATACAAAGTCATTCAAACTAGCTGCACCTTTACCAGCTTTGAGAACACTTTCATGATCAATCATTATAAAACATATCATATATATTATTCTGAAATGGACCAATCTGCACAATGACTACTTTTACTGTCGCTACTTTCACTATATTTTGATGAGAATACTTTTCTACTTTTACTTGAGGAACATTTTGAATACAGGACTTTTACTGTAACAGAGTATTCCTACACTCTGGTACTTCTACTTTTACTCAAGTACAAGATCTGAGTACTTCTACTTTTACTCAAGTACAAGATCTGAGTACTTCTACTTTTACTCAAGTACAAGATCTGAGTACTTCTACTTTTACTCAAGTACAAGATCTGAGTACTTCTACTTTTACTCAAGTACAAGATCTGAGTACTTCTCCCACCTCTGCTGCCACAGTTTCCCTTTAAATGAAACCTTGAATACTCTACAGGTAGATGAATACAGGTTTCATCTTGTCTTAAAGCCGCTTCTCAAACCTCTCTGTGAGACTCGTGAACAGCTCGAGTTGTGAACCTGCTTTCTGGCGTTCCCTCCGTGTGCTCTGGTCACATGAAGGTTATATGGCAGCAGAGTTGTGTAAGAGTGTTGCTCATGTTTGTACATGTACTCACAGAGAGAGTGACTCGGGTCTCAGTGTTTACTTACACCACACTGGATAAATAGGTCACCAGTAGAAGAGGGGATTCACTTGAATAGAAAACATGGCAATAAACAAGCCCTTATTTTACATGTTACCTCATACAATGGAGTAAAGCTTAAAAAAGAGTGATTATATAGACAAATAAATGTCTTTTGAGCAGTGTTCATTAAAACACAAATCACCAGCTAGCTTTTATTTTCCATGACTAAGAGGACACCTTTAACTGTGATTATGTTAACATGCAATATTTGACAAAGACACACTGAAATGTAGAGAAATCCAATTTTCTTTTTCCATTTCAATGAAGTAGTTCTGTTTCCTGTTCATCAAGACATCACACAGAGACCCTGTTGCATTTGATTATAACGTGTGGTGGGTTTACAGGGACCGTTGCAGAAACCAAGCAGCTCTTAAACATCAGATTTAAAGCAGCCTCCCTCTCCTCTGTCATCATCCTGTTGGACCTGTCTGCTGCATTCGACACGGTGAACCATCAGATCCTCCTTCGCACTCTCCAAGAATCTGGAGTTTCAGGCTCTGCACTTTCCCTCCTCACCTCATACCTCAAAGACCGCACCTACAGGGTAACTTGGAGAGGGTCCGAGTCCGACCCTTGTCAATTAACTACAGGGGTCCCTCAGGGCTCTGTTCTTGGTCCCCTCCTCTTCTCCTTGTACACAAACTCTCTCGGATCAGTCATTAGCCTGCATGGTTTTTCATACCACTGCTACGCTGACGACACCCAATTAATTCTGTCCTTTCCCCGCTCAGAGACCCAGGTCGTCGCACGCATCTCTGCTTGTCTAGCAGACATCTCTCAGTGGATGTCTGCCCACCACCTCAAGCTCAACCTTGATAAGACTGAGCTGCTTTTTCTTCCGGGAAAAGATTGTCCCACTCTTGACCTAACAATCAACATCGGCCCCTCTGTTGTTTCCCCGACTCAGACTGCAAGGAATCTGGGTGTGGCCCTAGATAACAACCTGTCCTTCACTGCAAACATCGCTGCTACAACCCGATGCTGCAGATACACTCTTTACAACATCAGGAGGATACGTCCCCTCCTGACCCAGAAAGCGACGCAGCTTCTGGTCCAGGCTCTCGTCATCTCACGCCTAGACTACTGCAGCTCCCTCCTGGCTGGTCTACCTGCATGTGCCATCCGACCTCTGCAGCTCATCCAGAATGCAGCGGCTCGTCTGGTCTTCAACCTTCCTAAATGTTCCCACACCGCGCCGCTCCTCCGCTCCCTTCACTGGCTTCCAGTAACTGCCAGAATCTACTTCAAGACACTGGTATAGCGTACCATGCTGTGAATGGATCTGGCCCTTCCTACATCCAGGACATGGTTAAACCATACACCCCAGCACGTGCACTCCGCTCTGCATCGGCCAAACGGCTCGCTGCACCCGCACTGCGAGGGGGACCCAAGTTCCCATCAGGAAAAACACGTGGGTTTGCTATCCTGGCTCCAAAATGGTGGAGTGAGCTCCCCATTGACATCAGGACAGCAGAAAGCTCACACATCTTCAGGTGCAGACTGAAAACTCATCTCTTTCGACTCCACTTTGAGCGATAGAATTACTAACAAAGAATTACTAACAAAGCACTTATATACTAACAAAGGACTGGCTTATCTAAAGCCAGTGGAGTAGCACTTGAAATGTTTTGGCTCTATGAAACCAGAGGCCTGTACTACGAAGCCGGATTTTCTCTTAGCCGGCTGACTTCAGGGAAAACTCGGGCTTTCCGGTCCTACGACGCTGGTTCTCTTTTTAGCGGGCTAGATCTCCATGGTAACTTATGCTGAGCGGCTAACCTCCTCGGGAGGAGGTTAGGTTGCAGGCTGAGATCAACTCAGTGAAAGCACCGCCTGCTGACCAATCAGAGCTCCGTGTGCGGAGTTTAAAGCGATCAAGTCATATTACAGGATAGAGGAAATACAGAAAAACTGCCGTTGCAGGAAAGACGGCCGGCAAAAATCAACTGACTGTGTGAACGTGAACATTAATAGAATATCCCCTCCCATCTTCAGAGCAATCTGACTATTATAACATTAGCGTTAAGAAAGCTTACTTAAATATCTGCCACAACATAAGTAACCGGATCAGAGTAACATTAAGTACAGTCCGCGGCTCTGTGAGTGCAGACGTAGATGTGTCCCATTATCATTCATATCATATCACATCATAATATATCATATATTTCCTTATCTGAGTCAGCTGAGCCGTATCTGGCCGTGCAACACTCTCAGTGTCACATACTGTATGCAGAAGTATTATTTTAAGCAACACATTAAGTTGACGAAACACTCGAGTCAAATGTAATTAAAGTCAGATCGTGTCTTGGACGGGGCAGTGATATCATAAACCTGTTAATGTACGCATTCAAACACTTTTTCTTTTACCAGCTGTATTCACCTTGCAGGTGCAGCTATGTGGCTTTGATCCTGGATAAAGTGTTTAAGTCATGGATGTTTAAAGTTTAACTTCTTCATATTTGACTAATATTAAAGTTCACTTTTCATTCAGGAAGTACGACGCTGCGCTGTCAGTAGGCTTGTCCATGTTTGTGATTGGTCGAATGCTCCAGATACCACCCCTTTTATGTGAACGCGCACCTAACTAGATAGGACACGGCTGGCTTGAGCGATCCACTTGATAACCAGCGTCGTAGTACAGTTTAGCCAGAGCGCGTATGTTTTGGATTGGGCCAACCGGCTAACTCAAACATATCCAGGTTAGGAAAATCCAGCTTCGTAGTACAGGCCTCTGATGTACTTATATGATTCTGTTTTCTTCAAGTTTGTATCTTCCTGGTCGAATGCACTTATTGTAAGTCGCTTTGGATAAAAGCGTCAGCTAAATGCAATGTAATGTATTGTAAAAAACAAAATTACAAAAAATAAACGTCCCCTAAAGTTTTTCGGGGAGTTTTATTATCTTTAAAATGTTTTATTTCTTGTCCGAAAGATGCTTATTCTAAACGGTGGTTATGAAACATGTTAATTTGCCGCTGTATTTACACCTCATTCGGCTGTGAGACTACAGATGGATTAAGTGGAAGTGTGTAGGGGTCGATTTGGAATTAGGCCAAAGGGCAGAGTAACTTAGTTGATGGGGAAGTAAAACAATGACATCATCAGAGCCTGAGAAAAAAACACAAGGTTATATCTCGACTCAATCTAACATAGTTCCCGTTTTCCTTTGCTAAGATAAGACAAAACAGGATGAGGTGGACTGAATAGGAGAAACAACAATCTCTTAAACGTTTCCACTTCTTGTACAAAAGCATTCCACCTATAGCTTGTCGTGGCTAACCTTTGACCTGTGACCTTATTGCCACCTATTGATCTGATGTCATGCTAACATCTGGAAACTTTACTAAAAGTCTTATTTTCTGACCTGTGATTTCAGAGTAGTGTCTGCTGTACACTTGCGTTTTTTTGGGGATAATGTCAAGAACACTTTGGATCGTTTGTGTTGTATGCTCGTCAGTTGGCCTTGTTGTGTTGTACCGTCTCTCACCACTAGATGGTGCTGTCCGTCTACTATAGTGGTCTCATTCTAACAGTCAAACTTTTTTATGAGTTTGTTTCTACTTTTAAACCTGTTTTGAACAAAAGAGTGTTCCTGAAGCTTGAGTAGTTCAACAGAAACTCAACCATTTTAATAAAAAATCTCTTCATCACAGACGTTTTTCTTCTGCTTTTATATCATCTGTGAGAAATGAACATCTGGTGTAGTGTAAACAAGACAATGTACTTGAGTATGAATGAAGTATGAATTTGAGGGTCTTGTACCTAAGAATTTCCTTTCAAGCTACCTAAAACGTACTCAACTACACCTCAGAGGTACATTTTGTAATACATATACTGTTACTTCTTGACATTTATCCGACAGCTTTAGTATCTTCTCAGATTACAGTTTTCCATCCCGTTCCTTTCTAGAGAGAACATTCATTTCTAGATGTGTCGATCTTAAACTGAATGTTTATTTCCCTCCTTATGCTAAATAAATGTGTGTTAAACAAATCGGATCAGATTTAAACTACTTAATAGCAACATAACGAAGAACTGAATCCCTCAAAAGACATATGAAATGTGAAAAACACTCTTCGTGCATCAGCAGAATAATTTCCCTTCCTTCTCTCTTTCGTTAACCCTTCTCTCTCTCCCTCTCCTCCCAGGTGGTGGAAGCAGCGAACACCACCAGCTTTAACTGCCACATGAATTACACCAACCAGACGCAGGTGCTGGTGCCGAGCTTTGACTCTCGCCTCTACATGCTGTGCTTCCTCCCTGCCGTGGTGCTGCTGGTGTTCGTCCCCGACCTCAAATACCTGGCTCCTCTCTCTCTGGTGGCCAACATACTGATGACTGCCAGCCTCGTCCTCATCTACTTCTACTCGCTCACGGTGAACAAAGCATTTCATCTCTACTCTCTTTTCTCAGATGCAGGGAATTTATCTGAATTTATTCTCAAGTCGGAATCAAATCAGAAATTTGATTTTTTTTTTCTTTCAAAATGTCTTTTTCAGTAGAATCCTCAAAATTCTAAGTTTTTCTGAAAAATATGACATCACCCCCAAATTCTTGCTTTTTCCTAAAGTTCTATCTTTTTGTCTGAAAATCTGACTTTTTCTGAAAAAATAGGACCATTTTTCTTTTTCAGAAAAATTAAGAACATTTGACTTTTTCAGAAAATTTGACTTTTTTAGAAAAAATCTGAAAATTTGACTTTTTCAGAAAAAATAAGAAAATGTGACTTTTTTCCAAAAAATCTGAAAATCTGACTTTTCCCCCAAAAATCTGAACCTTTCAGTTTTTCTGAAAATTATGACTTTCCCCCAAAATTCTGGCTTTTCCTTCAATTCTATCTTATGGTCAAAATATTGTGACTTTTTCTGAGAAATTAGGAAAATGGAAAAATGACTTTTTCCAAAACAATGAATGTGTCGTTCTCAAAAAATATCTGAAAATTTGACTTTTTCAGAAATAATTTAAAAAATGTTGCTTATATCTCTTATCTTAGGGATGGTAAAGATGGGTTCTGCGGAAACGTTACTACTTTTAGCCTAGAGTTTTTTTATTTTATTTATATATTCATTCATTTAACAGGGACTGTCCCTCTAGCACAGGGATGGGCAACTTTGATGGTGGTGGGGGGCCACATAATGTATGTACTGGCCACCAGGGGGCCGCAGATTCACTTGGAACACACACACACACACACACACACACACACACACACAAATTCCATGTATTGTATGTAATTATTAACAAATATACTAAGTCTGACATCTTCATTGACATTTTATAATCTTTCAAGGAACATCCTCCAATAAGCTCACTAAACAAATATCAGTTCAGAGAAATGTTATTTAATTTTTACAAGTGACATGTTTGTATTGAACAGGTTATTTAACAGTGGAATACAACTATTTTAAACTATTGGAAAGCACGGAAAATGTGTGTGCATTGAGATAACCATTAAGATGACCTAAACATGAAGTCATGAACACTACCCAGACATTAGTTGTCTAACTTGAACCTAAGACACTTGTAGCCTGTCTCTGCATTCCCCTTATTCCACAATAAGGGGAATGTCAACACAGACACCTGCCAACCCGCACTCTGCTGTTCCTCAGCGCCGCTCCCCTCCCTCCCGCTGAAATTATGAAGTAAAAGCGTATAGTAATCATAGATAACACGGCAGGGTCCGTGACAGTTTGTTTTCATCTGATTTCAAATAAACAAAGTCTTGGTTTTTAGAATATTAAACTTGTTTCGCCAAATTCAGATGATAAATACAACTTTGAAGCTTGTAAAGGCATAATTACAAGCGGTAACTTGACGTCACAGCAGGCATAACAACAGCCGGTGTTTCTTGTGAGTGTTTCCCCGGGAAACAAACACAATACACACAAACGCCTCACAGATTATTTTTGCGGTATTTGGCTGCCGAACGAAATCATGTACGCAGCTCGCGACGTAACTAGGAGTCTAGTGGACGGTATCAGTACTACAAGTAAAAATAAAAATATATATATATTTTTTAACCAATTACGTTGTTTATAAATTAATCTGAGGGCCACAAAAAGAGGAGGTGGCGGGCCGCCATTTGCCCATCCCTGCTCTAGCACATTCATCAACATTTCTGTAAATGTTTCAGAGTTAACCAAAAGGCTATTTTTCATCTGTAGTCGCTGGACAGATTTTGTAAGTCGCCACACATAAGATCCACACATGAGCCATTTCATTGTTTGATAGCAATAAAAACATCATTTCATTCTTTCATTGTTGTGACGATATAAATATTTATCTTGCAATCCAGGAAGTCAGCATACAAGTAAAGTATCAATATAAACTTTCTCTGAGTCTGACCGATGCAGGAAAGAAGGACCTTTCTCCACTGTTATACCTTCATCAATTCAGAGAAGATTTTACAATAGCCGCTTTCACACCAAGTACTTTGCCGTACTTAGTTCCCAGTACTTAGTCCCGCTGAACTCTTTAGTCCCGGAACTGTCCTAGTAGATCGCGTTCACACCGGAATAAATCCCTGAGGGAGGATTACGCAAATGAAGCCGCTGACGTCACTTTTTCTTCTTCTGCTTTGGGTTTACTGGCAGGCCGCAAACAACTTCACGGCGTCGTATACTGCCACCCGAAGTCCCGGAGTCCCCCGGACTTCGGGACTTCGGGTGGCAGTAAATCGCCACCCGAAGTCCCGGGTAAATCGCCAGAAGCACCGACACCTCCTCATCACTCCACCGTTCCCACGTTTTATTTTGTGTTGCCATAAGTTAGTCTCTCTCCGTTGGTGCGCTGGGCTAATGCTAATGCTAATAATGCTAATGCGAAAAGGTTAGCATGAACTAAGTTCTAGTTCCAGATCTTTTTGGTGTGAACGCAAAATCCCAAGAACTATCGGAACTATTCCTGGGAAAAGTACTCCGGTGTGAAAGCGCCTACTACATCTGGGAGAGAGTTCTTGGTTTACGAAGAAACACGAACAAGTGAAATACTACAAAGTCCCCAGCCATTTATAATAACATACATACAAAAAACAGGTAACACGTCGCCTTCATATTACCCTTCTTGCTGCGATTCTGTTGTGGAGATATCCAGCATAACACAACAGGAAAGAATGAAACAGAGAGGAATCAATAAAACACAAACACAGACATAGCTGATAAGTAATTATTATTTAGTTGTTGCAACAAACAAACAATAATGGGAAGTACATCACCTGCTGCCACAGCAGCCAATCGTGGAAATGCTCCCCAGAACAGAAGAAACACAGGGCTAGATATACTTTTCTAAATGACACACGAACATGTTCCCCAAACATGTTTAACGCACACACATTTTATCATGCAGCCAACCACACAAATGTCACATGTTTTTCTCTCTGAAAGCTATACCTGTATATGTTTAAACGTCATCATCTCATGACATCCTTAGGATTAGTTAACTAACAAAGGTTAACTGTTTTTATAACCCGAGGCCTTCTCTGAACTTCCTATACCCTTGGTGTCAGCTCACTTAAAATGAATACATCTATTGATAATTCAGAACGACCATTGTCTCTCTAACTGTGTGTGACCCAACTCAGTAACACACATCATATGGAATACCATGTGATCATTAATGAATATCAGAAATACGCTGTATTAAACATTCTGCCATAACAATTCTACTTGATATTCAGTTTAAATGTGCAACTCATTTGAATGGCTGTTGTCAGCAGCTGTAAGTCAAGCTTCATCGTGCTATATTTTGGTTTATTTTGCAGGAATGATTGTTCCTTCAAAGACCCATATCATCAGTTTATGTAATTTGTGAGACTTGGTCAACAAACAGGTCACAAGGTGTTATTACTTGGGCCTTTTGACTGCAAAAAAGATCAGATCAGATGTGTCAAATCAAATCAGCCAGTCAGAGAAGAGTCTATCATATAATATGATATTGCTTTTGCAAACATGTATATTAAATATTCTTAATTTTCCTCGTTTTCTCCCTGTAGAACATCTCGTACCCCATCGACCTCCCTAAAGTTGGAAGACTCAAAGACTATCCTCTCTTCTTCGGGACGGCCATCTTCGCCTTCGAGGGAATCGGAGTGGTACGTTAACAAAAGCACATTTACATCCTGTATTAACGTGAAGTGTGAATCCGGATACCTTATCTCAGGGGTGTCAAATTCAATTTAATTGCGGGCCACATCAGCATTAAGGTGCAGTTAATGCGCCGGTTGTAACTTTAAGACTTTATAAATATACGTATATCAATCTATAATATATATAAAATAATGTATTATATGACATTATTGCCTCTGCATTGGATTATTATCAGATAGGGTAATAACTTCATAATTAACTACGTCTGAAAGCAGAAGTCTAGGGCAAATAATTGCAAGTCTCTTCAGTGGCATGTTTAAAAAATGAGATGCATTGTGGGACATGTAGTTTATTGGCAACGTGAATCTGTAAAGTGGCATGTAAACGTATTATATTCTTTCCAAGCTCTTGCGGGCCTCATTAAATGAAGTCTATCTCCCTATATATACGCAATCAACAGACCCATTTATACATATGCACACATTAAGACCTAAATAAAAGCACAACAATCAATATATACAAAATAACAGTCACTTCAATATCTTTGAGATTGCATTTCTACCTGATATTATAATCACTTTCCATTCTGTCTGCTCAGTCAACATACATTTAGTCTTCATTATAAAGTCCATGAAACGATATTATTAATCCATAACATCCTGTTTTGAGACGTTTATATTTTAGAATAGTTTATTTCTACTCTTTAAATGTGTTATGTGCAATGCCTTGTTTTGTTTTATGCTGCTGCAACACAAATGTTCCCATATTGGGATTAATAAAGCACATTATCTTATTTTAAGAAGTGACTTTTCTCTCCCCTGCTAAATGATCCTTAAACCTTGCTTTACATTTGGTCTTTTGTCTTATTCCTAGTCCTAGAAAGACAAGGTAAACTTAACTAATGTGCATTTAAAAAAGAGTAATAGTTTCGGCAATAACTAAAAGGTGCCATGGGGTCAGATTAGGATGTTCCAAAGGGGGTTCGTTTAGCATGAAACACTTGAAATAACTAAAGGAGAAACAAGAACATAGAAAGAAAGTGAGGTGAGCGATGATTGAGTCAGAGCTAAACATGTCAGATGAGTGTATCTCACTCTGCACTGTCACTTTCATTCATGTTCCTTTTATTACCTTTGATTTTAAATGAGTGTTTTATAATATGTTTCTTAATGCTCTTGATGTCTTTCAGCACTTTGAATTGCCTTGTGTTGAACGGTGCTGTATATAAATAGCCCTGCCTTGCCTTATTCACAGTGTGTTTGTCTTCTTGTGTGTGCAGGTTCTTCCTCTGGAGAACAAGATGAACCGGCCTCAGAGCTTCATCCCTGTTTTATATTTGGGGATGGGCATCGTCACCTTCCTCTACATCACCCTCGGCACCATCGGGTATTTGTGCTTCGGAGACACTATCGGAGGAAGCATCACCCTCAACCTGCCAAACTGCTGGTACGATAATAATAATAATTAAAGCTGCAAGCAGCGTTGAGCGGGTCTTCGACGCTCCGCAGGCTGTTGTCCGCACGTCGAGGTATCATGCAGGAGTTTTCCGGACTCGGCCGTTTGCAAACGTGGGAAGTTTCAGGCCGATCGGACAACGTAAATGGGAGTTACAGCAGTATTATACAGTAAACATTGTGTTTGATGGCGAGTGATCTACTGCCATGGCAACGGCATATGATGACATCCCATAATTGGCGTTGAGCTGTTGAGGGCCGGACCATTAACTGTCATCTGAAGTCTGGTGCAGTTTGGATCATTTTCCATTGACTTAAGACAACTTCATGTTTTTTGGTGAGGGATGCGTTGCCATGGAAACGGCATACGGTGAGATCTCAGATTTCAGGTAGAGCTGTTGAAGGCCGGACCATTAACTGTCATCTGAAGTCTGGTGCAGTTTGGACCATTTTCCATTGAATTAAGACAACATCGTGTTTTATGGCGAGTGATGCGTTGCCATGGAAATGGCATACGGTGAGATCTCAGATTTCGCGTAGAGCTGTTGAGTCATGGACCAGTGATATAAAAGTGAAGATTGTGGGACGATGGGACCGTGTCGATTGGATTTACAGCGACACCGTGTTTTATGGCGAGGAATGCGTTGCCATGGAAACGGCATATGATGACATCCCAGAATTGGCGTAGAGCTGTTGAGGGCCGGACCATTAACTGTCATCTGAAGTCTGGTGCAGTTTGGATCATTTTCCATTGAGTTAAGACAACATTGTGTTTTTTGGTGAGGGATGCGTTGCCATGGAAACGGCATATGATGACACCCCATAATTGACATAGTGCTGTTGGGGGCCGGACTAGTGGCCATGATCTGAAGTCTGGTGCAGTTTGGAACATTTTCCATTGAATTAAGACAACATCGTGTTTTATGGCGAAGGATGCGTTGCCATGGAAACGGCATACGGTGAGATCTCAGATTTCAGGTAGAGCTGTTGAAGGCCGGACCATTAACTGTCATCTGAAGTCTTGTGCCGTTTGGAACCTTTTCCATTGAATTAAGACAACATCGTGTTTTACGGCGTGGGATGCGTTGCCATGGAAACGGCATACGGTGAGATGTCAGATTTCACGTAGAGCTGTTGAGTCATGGACCAGTGATATAAAAGTGAAGACTGGGGGACGATGGGACCGTGTCGATTGGATTTACAGCGACACCGTGTTTTACGGCGTGGGATTCGTTGCCATGGAAACGGCATACGATGAGATCTCAGATTTCACGTAGAGCTGTTGAGGGCCGGACCATTAACTGTCATCTGAAGTCTGGTGCCGTTTGGAAGCTTTTCCATTGAATTAAGACAACATCGTGTTTTACGGCGTGGGATGCGTTGCCATGGAAACGGCATACGGTGAGATCTCAGATTTCACGTAGAGCTGTTGAGTCATGGACCAGTGATATAAAAGTGAAGATTGGGGGACGATGGGACCGTGTCGATTGGATTTACAGCGACACCGTGTTTTATGGCGAGGGATTTGTTGCCATGGCAACAGCTTTTGAGGAAAACTCACTTTTGTCATATGAATGTGTTGAGGGCCGGACCATTAACTGTCATCTGAAGTCTGGTGCCGTTTTGAACCTTTTCCATTGGATTTACAGCGGCACCGTGTTTTATGGCGAGGAATGCGTTGCCATGGAAACGGCATACGGTGAGATCTCAAATTTCACGTAGAGCTGTTGAGTCATGGACCAGTAATATAAAAGTGAAGATTGGGGGACGATGGGACCGTGTCCATTGGATTTACAGCGACACGGTGTTTTATGGCGAGGGATTCGTTGCCATGGCAACAGCTTTTGAGGAAAACTCACTTTTGTCATATTAATGTGTTGAGGGCCGGACCATTATCTGTCATCTGAAGTCTGGTGCAGTTTGGAGCATTTTCCATTGACTTAAGACAACATTGTGAAGTTTGGTGGCGTTGTGAGCATGTCAGTTTGAGTGATGACATCATCGTATTCCATGGCGGTTGATGGGACTAGCATCGAGCGAACGCGAACTTTGGCGCCAAATAACGGCTGCGCCGTGCGAAAGAAAAAAACTTCCGTGATAACTTTTAATTGCCCATGTCTCGAGATGCTACCCGACGAATTTCGAGTCGTACGGATAAAGTCCCTGGGAGGAGATAGATTTTGCGCGGAGGACGAAAAACGCGATAAATGGCGTTTTTTGACGCCTTTTTCAACGCCAAATTCAAAATGGCCGACTTCCTGTACGTTATTTTATACCCCTCCAAGAGGCTTTTTTGTTTGTCTCCGCACCTTAGATAGGCTTAGCGAGTTTCGTTCGGTTACGTGAAAGTTAAAGTAGGGGGAGTTAACGTTAAAAACGGAAGTGGGCGTGGCTTACGCAATTTTTTACGTAATATTCCGGAACCAATTAAATATCAAAATTTTGCGCACTTCTGACGCGCGTGCACAATTTGGTGAGTTTTCACATATGTGGCGGGGGTCAAAAGTGCGCGCGATGTTCTAAAATAATAATAATAATAATAAAAATAAATAATCGGACCAATATCAATAATGTGCTCGTTTACAGTGACGTGGGCTACGCCCACGTCACTGTAGGCCGTTGGGCTACCTACTGTCATGATTTAGGCCACTTTTAATGGGCTTTTACCCGTCTTTTCCCCTGTTTTTAGTGGGCTTTGCATGGTTATCGCTCGCTTCGCGAGCGACTAAATTGATCGTAACGATATTAATTATGCGAGTTGCAGTCACGTGGGCTTCGCCCACGTGACTGGGCTCGCGCGGACTATCTGCCGTCACTATTTCCGAACCTTTTCTGTGCTTTTGCCGGTCGTTTTCCTTGTTTTTGGGTGTTTTTAGCAGGTTTATCGGTCGCTGCGCGACCGATTTCAATAGGGTCTTCGCCGACCTATGGTCTCAGACCCTAATAATACAATACAGCTTTATTTATACACTTCTTTCACCGAGGGCCACATACAGAAAAATATACGAAGGGCTGGACCATTTACTAGAGGTTTATCGCCTCATAAGTTCAGTTATAAGTTGGACAAATCAATCAAATGTAGGTCAATGATGCTTAATACTTGAACATGCTTTTAGAAACACAACAGCCTAAATCCCAGCTCTCCAGAGGGTTTACTTTATTTAGTTATAAGACGTGTTGGCAGCTCATCCCTTAAAACAGAGGCTTCAGATTGCTTATAAAAAGAGGAAATATGAAGGTTAGATTTCAAGCTTGTTATGGAAATAAGTTATTGGGCTTTTTCTAATCAACTAAGATTTGTTTGACATTTTTCCCAACTTTAATTGAATTAATGTATTTGAAAAGTGGGCTTAATAACACATGAATACTACTGTGTAATATATGTTTACATTTATATTTAAGAAGTACAATATAAGACAAGTTTCATTTGTGGGCCGTCTTACATTATACTTTTTTGAATTAGCTGAGGGCCGATTCAAAATGGTCCGCGGGCCGCATTTGGACCCCCGGGCCGTAGTTTGGGCACCCCTGCTCCAGACCAAAGTGCTGTACAGTCAGATAAACAAACAGCGCTGCTCAGCCCACACACCATAAAACAAGAACAAGTAAAAACAATAGACAATTTAAAAGAAATAAAAGCAACAATCTAAAAGATGTCAATACGCTAATCATTCTTGCTTCGTAGAGCAGGGGGAAAACGAGTCGATTCAGCTGGGTTTCATACAGATTATAGCCTTTGCAGACCATTTACATGCACTACAACAGGGGTATTCAACTAAAATTCAACGAGGTCCAGTTAGAGAAAATCTCCCCATGCAAAGGTCCGGAACATCAAAATGTCTAACTTGCTTTATGAGTTAGTGTGATATATATTGAAGTAGCTGTAGCTTTATCAACGTCTGCATGTCATCAACAACTGACTGCCAATCAAATAAAGAAAGTACAATTCATAAACAACAATATTTATTGTCAATAAACATTGAACTATACAGATATACAGTAAATACTGTGGATATGTGTAATGTTCCTCTCGGGCTGCATTTAAAAATAAAATAGAGAAATAAATAAAATAGCTTTTGAAAATATGTGCATCTTAAAAAGTGCTTAATTTTAGATAAATAAAATAAAGTGTAGCAGCAGCTTGAGTTTCCCTTTTTCTTTGTTAACCGTTTCACATCATGACTTAACAGTTTCAGCCGATTATAGAACATATCAGTCTTTACACATCATAACAATTGAACAGTTTTAAAGTTTCTCTTTCTTTTCCTCTTTTATTGCAGTCCCTCACTCACTTTTCTTTAATTCAGTGCGAGAATTGAGCTTGAGCTTGTCCTGCCAGGAGTTTAAATCTGGGCTGAAATGGTGTCAGGGCCATTCTCATACACACATGCAGGTGCTCATTGGTTAGCCTCGGTTAGCCTGCCCTGGAACCATATTTAGTTTTAATTTTGATCCTGGTGGACTGATCATATTGGGCTCTGAGACTGCTTATTCTTTGTGACCTCAGTTCTGACTTGAGAGGGAATGTTTGGTCAAACACTTTGGGTTTTGTCTCATAGTGGCGTTTTGGCACTTTTAATGAGCGCCACGGTCTCTGAACAAATGAGACACACTGGTTCTGTGCTCCCAGTGGGCAGGATGAACATGAATGAGTCCACTCCCTGTCTGCCGCTAACACGCCTGTTCACTCTCCTCTTCGCTTCTCTCCCTGTATCGCTAATTATTCTCTTCACTCACTTTCCTCTCCGCTTCTCTCTGCCGCGCTCTCATCTCTTCTTCTGTGTTTCTCTCCCTGTATCGCTCACTCGTCTCTTTCGCCCCCTGTCGGCAGCGGTTAAAATAGAATCGCCCCGTCAACATTGAAATCCCCTATTAATGTATTGATTATAGGTCCGGGTCCGTATAGGTCAGCGTCTGGGTCCGGATCCGGACCGCGGTCCGCCTGTTGCCGACCCCTGCACTACAACATATATAACACACTACAGGAGAGGAGAAACACCCAAAAAGGAGAGTAGGGACCTCTTTAAACATGGCCAAAGAAAAAAGTGTGGGTTAATATGAATAACATTTGATTCAATTGACTTAATCAGAATAAACAAAAAGTGCTGTGTAGCAAAGATACACTAAGATACACCTGAACATCAGCAGGAGAGGACTCTTTAAAGTAGAGACACTACATACTGATATACACCTGAACATCAGCAGGAGAGGACTCTTTAAAGTAGAGACACTACATACTGATATACACCTGAACATCAGCAGGAGAGGACTCTTTAAAGTAGAGACACTACATACTGATATACACCTGAACATCAGCAGGAGAGGACTCTTTAAAGTAGAGACACTACATACTGATATACACCTGAACATCAGCAGGAGAGGACTCTTTAAAGTAGAGACACTACATACTGATATACACCTGAACATCAGCAGGAGAGGACTCTTTAAAGTAGAGACACTACATACTGATATACACCTGAACATCAGCAGGAGAGGACTCTTTAAAGTAGAGACACTACATACTGATATACACCTGAACATCAGCAGGAGAGGACTCTTTAAAGTAGAGACACTACATACTGATATACACCTGAACATCAGCAGGAGAGGACTCTTTAAAGTAGAGACACTACATACTGATATACACCTGAACATCAGCAGGATGCAGGAGAACAGAAGAAGAGCTTGAAAGCTGATTTTTCTGCCACATAACTCGTTTATTTGACTATTTCTCGGCTCTTTTTCCAGGACGTACCAGGGGGTGAAGCTTCTCTACTGTTTCGGTATCTTCATCACTTTCGCCCTGCAGTTCTACGTCCCTGCGGAGATCCTCATCCCCCCCGTGTTGGCTCGTGTGTCGGTGAGATGGGAGCGACCCGTGGACATGTTGCTGCGCACCGTCCTCGTCCTCTTCACATGTAAGTGCAGGGTTCAAGTTATGTGGGAGCCAATACATTACTAACATATAAAAAGACAAGGCAATGCACACAAGATAAGTTAAAACACTAGAAATAAACAATCCAACATATTTCTGAAATAGAATAGCATTAAATATTAAAAAATATACATGTGGAAATACAAATGTACAGTAACAAATATAATGCAGGATATTATTGTGCAAGAAATGGATTATCCATTATTAAATTGAATATAAATGTACAGTGGGAGTTAAGTTATATTTTATTTTATGTTATGCTACGGACAAAATTCTTATTATTCCATCCAGTTATTCTCCTCCCACATTCAACATCGCAGAAACTCCGTTCAAACATCAAAACGTTCAGCTCGGTCGGGAATCGGGCGCTATTACTTTTATCATTCATAACTTTCATAATTCCAGAGATACATCCCATAATACATCACATTTTTAACATTTTAACTTTAACATTGCGCAGCTCGTTAAGGCAGAGTGCGTGATGTCACAGCTAGAGGGTAGGAAATCTTGAAATTTGCCTTCATATTTTTTTTTAAAACTACCATAATTCCCAAACCCTACATTCCTGACACATAATTGTTCATGACAAACGTAGGAAAACATCTCGTAGCTTGAAAAATGACAAATAATTAAGCAAAAATAATTAAACAAAATGCCTCTTGAGGGCATGAAGTGACAAAAACGTTCAACATGTCTCCATTAAAGCCCATTGTAATTTCAGGCAGATATTTCCTCACAGCAGCAGCCGCACACCTTTAGTTAAACTGCCAAAAAGGCCACATTATTAACCCGAAAGTACACAAAGATTACATTTCATATACTCAACTTCCTTGATATGCTTCACGCTTTGAAATTTCACAGATATCTGTTATCGTTCTTCCACAAAACGTTCACATGTAAGAGGTTCACCTCTCATTCAGAACAATGCAAACCTTTCATCTCTACAGAGCTCGTTAGCTCAACTATAAACACCTGTGTAATGGAACACGATGATGTCATCACTCCAACTGACAGCAGTCAGTTCTAACTGTTCATTCACATGTAAGAGGTTCATCTCTCATTCAGAACAATGGAAACCTTTGATCTCTGCACACCTTGTTAGCTCAAATATAAACACCTGTGTCATGGAACACGATGATGTCATAATGTTCGTGTTTGAGCTAACGACGTGGTCACTGGAGTTTAACAGACTGTCTGAGCCTATTCTTTTCTGTCTGTTGGAGACTTCATACTGACTTCAACATGTTCCACCTATTTTATACATTATTGGTGACACACAGCTGTCGTCGTTAGCTCAAATATAAACACCTGTGTCATGGAACACGATGATGTCACATTGACAGGTTTGGTAATGATGCAGCCATCAACGCATCTAAGCGTATTATGGGGTGTCATCAAATGCTGTTGCCATGGCGACAGACCACTCGCCATGAAGCACGATGTCGCTGTAAGTCCAATGGACACGGTCCGATCGTCCCCCAAACTTCGCTTGTATATCACCGGTCCCGCCCTCAACAGCTCTACGTCAATTATGGGGTTTCTTCAAATGCCGTTGCCATGGTAACACAAGGCTCGCCATGCAACACGGTTTTCTCATAACTTCAGTGAAAATGCTCCAAACAGCCCAAAACTTCACAGGTTTGGTAACGATGCAGCCATCAACGCATCTAACCGTATTATGGGGTGTCATCAAATGCCGTTGCCATGGCGACAGACTACTCGCCATGAAGCACGATGTCGCTGTAAGTTCAATGGACACGGTCCGATCGTCCCCCAATCTTCACTTGTATATCACCGGTCCATGCCTCAACAGCTCTACGCCAAATCTGAGATCTCACCATATGCCGTTTCCATGGAAACGCATCCTTCGCCATAAAAGACGATGTCGCTATAACTCCTATGAAAATGTTCAAAAAGTGCTCAAACTTGGGGGGGCGTGGTCAGCAGAATCAGACCCGTAGACAGCAAACAGCACATAGAGCGAAATGAGGCATGGCTAAAATGCATGATCTGTTTGGTATTTTGAAAACAGAAACGTATAAATATACCTTATATAGGTATGGCCCTACAATATATCATTTAAATATAGCATGATAGGTCCACTTTAAATAAACATCTTTTATTAACCGTTGATATGGTGTGTTTCCTCTTTGTTGTGGCCTTTTGAGCCAGGTCATAACACTGAACATTTCTGAACATTTGACTTTTTATAGTAAAGATGGGTTCTGCGGAGACGTCTCTACTTTTACCCTAGAGTATCGTTGAGTTTCACCACAAAGTCAGAGATAAAGTTATGAACAATATTCTCTCCTTTTCCTCTTCTCCTCCAGGCGCTCTGGCCATCCTGATCCCAGAGCTGGACCTCGTCATCTCATTGGTCGGTTCGGTCAGCAGCAGTTTTCTGGCGCTGATCTTCCCGCCCATCCTGCAGATCATCACTTTCCACACGGAGGGTCTTTCGCCTCTTGTCACCATCAAAAACGCCGCCATTAGCCTCATCGGGCTCATCGGCTTCATCACGGGAACTTACATCGCCATCGAGAAGATCATAGAGCGAAACGGACTCAAAAGCACCGAGGCGTTTTCCTCCTTCATGGTGCAGTGATGACCCGAAAAGACATTTAGAAAACATATTAGGGCACATTTTTTATTTCATTTGATCCTTCCACTTGCTGCTGTTGGATATGGCGGACACTGCTTTTTTTTGCATTAATCTATCGTGTGTTTAAGAAGCTGTGAGAATTTGTATTTCATCATTTCATTGCTGTAACAAACTGCCACATTTCATTTAAAGTCCTGGAAAGTCGTGCAAACTTACAATAACGTAATAATAATGATAAATTCATTCCTTCAGGTAGCTTCGAGAGATTTTAGGTAGAGGTATTTAAGAGGTAGTCTATCATTTTGAATATATTAATGTTTAATCAAACTACCTCACACATTTGTTTATTTAAATCTGGACTATCAAAACGTTTTCCACATTAGTTGTTGACATTTAGTTTCCTGTAGATCTTTTAACCACCTCCTCATTTAGAAGAAAATCAACATGTTTTGTTGCACTTTGATTTATGTCTTATTCAGTAACGGCGCGCTTCTTTGACATTAGACACATCAGGAAAACTCTAAATCAAGTATCTGTATTTTTAGGGAATAATGGGGTTGAGTATCATTAAATTAAATAAGAACTAATTGGAAAAAATAAGAGCTTTTTGGGGAATTATTCAGAAGCGAGGTGTTGCAATAGTCCTTGAAAGAATGGAAGTTAATAACATTCACCAAAGAAAATAATAGGAGTCTGAAAAGACATCATTTGGACAAAAGGTCAGATTTCGAATTTAAAGTCAATAATTTGGACCAAAAGTTAGAACTTTAATAAAAAGACAGAATTTCAGAAAGAAAAACTTTTTCCCAGAAATATACTTAAAGTGTTAAATGTGACTTTTTCAGAATAAATTGAAGCATTTAACTTTTTCAGAACATTTTGAGAAAAAGTAACTTTTTCTTCATTTCTTTAAAAAGTAATAATTTGGACAAAAAGTTAGAACTTGAAGAAAAATCCAGAATTTTTTATTTTTTATTTTCAACCCTAATCCTCATCCGTAGATATTAAAAAAACCTTTTAAATGATTTCTCTTTTGTCCAACACATTAAAGTTACATGACAGCATTGTTTGTGTTTCTAGTCTCTATAAGGCACCAAAGATCACGTGATGCTGGAACCTGAGATCTGGATGAAGTCGAAAATACGATAAAAGGGAAAATATATTATTCATAGGATTTAATAAAAATAAATATGAATAATTATAATCAGTGAGATCTCCCTGATACTCGACCCTAGCAGAATGAACCGTCACTAAACAAAGTAATAATGCAGTCAGACTTTAGGAACCGAGTCGTACCGTCTTTATGTCGGAGCTCTCCTGTGTTTCTGATTCTTTTGATCACATTTTTTGGGTGTTTTAATGTATTTACAAACATTTCTGACTGGCTTTGTTGTTGTTTGTTTTATTAAACAGCATGCATTTGAAACACCTAACCTTGAAAATGTTATTTTCTTTGGGTTTTAATTGAACAGAGAGGCTCTGCATGTATTATAATGTAATGTATGTAATATAAAACACATTTTAATGACACGTGTTAGTTATTGTGGGTTTAACCGCAGACTCACTGCTTCTGTTCAGACGTCTCCAGTGTTATGTGGCAGTATACAAAAGGCTTGTTGATATAAAAGCCTTATTCATAAATAATTTAAACCAGCTGTTTGTGTATATATCCATTTGTTGCATATGTAAATGTCTGCACACTATTTTTTAATTTAATTTTAAATACCAATTGTTTTCTTTTATTCTGGAGTTGATGTGCTAAAATTGCCACTTGACACTTTAAGGGGGAGAAGCATTATGATGATGATGAAGAGGATGATGAAGATGATGTGCAGCTTCCCAAAGAAGACTAATTTAAACTTTCATTTAGTGCTAACTAACGATTTCTAGTAAATAAAGTCATTATTTTCCACCAAATTAATTGTTTAAACCCATTTTAGAATCATCAGTCAAGCTGTAACCTACATCTGTTTGATATTTTAATAAATTAATGACAACTTTATTTTCATTCCCTTTCATTTCTTTATTCCTATATATGAATAAATACATTTGAAAGCATCTGCATGTGTGTCTTTTTTTAGGTTGCTATGGAAACGATCTCTTCTGTTTTTAAAGGGACAGTTCAACCAAAACAAGGATTTAGAAATCCTTTATTGCAAAAACTCATGCATTTGCAACGTTTATCCTCCACTCCCCATGAGGGTGAAACACACAGATGAGCTCTGAACAACGCTCACAAAGATTTTTCAAAAAAAAGTCACATTATTAAAAATAATAATATTAAAAGTCATTATTTTGAGAAAAACTGAATTTTGAGGAAAAATATCTAATTTCTTATTTTTCAGAAAAAGTCAGATTTTTTTTGAAAAAGTTGGAATTTTGAGAAATAAAATCAATTTCAGTTTTATTCTTAAAAAGTCATGATTTTGAGGAAAAACATAATTTTGAGAAAAAAGTCAGATTTTTGAGAAATAATTTCCAACTGACACGTCAAGGGGGACCAGCTGATGATGATGATGTCTTTAAAGGGACAGTTCAACCAAACATTTTTATTTTTCCTCAGAGACTGAAGCAAGGTCAGACCCAGACTTTCCATTTCTACTTCATTCCTCCTCATATTTTTCATCGCCTACCTTCATCTCATCCGTCCTCTCCCTGCCTCTCTTATTCTAATCTCCCCTCTTCCTCCTCCTCTTCGTCGCTGTAACTCTGCAGCACTGATCTGTGCAGCGTCCCTTCTAAATGCTGCAGAGCCTGTGAAGACTTACTGGAATAGAGAGTGGTCTTGCTCAGTACTGGAGACAACATATGGAGCAATACTCTACTTTTTCACGTGTCAAAACCAACAAACCTTTATAAAGAAAAAGTGTTCTCGGCTACATGAAGGCTGAGATATCTGTAGACTTTGGTTCAAACTGTGGATGTGAAACCAGTCAGGAGATTCTCCACATTTGAGATTGTCAGAATAAAAGTTTAGGAAGCTTTTTTTGTGAACTTTCCGAGGATAAAATGAGACTTTAATGTCTTTAGCTTGGATCTATTAGATTAGCTAACATGCAGCCTGTCTCCTTTGAACAATTAACACAATTAATCTTCTTTATTTAAAACAATAATAAAAAATGTTAAAGCCTATCTCATTCTGTTGTTTTTTATTTTTCTCTTCTTACATATAACCATTACAAACAATTGTGTCATTTGTATTTGCATACATTTAGCTTTCCATTTCTGAAAGGACAAACCCTTGTTATGCATTGTAGAAACGCAATAAAAACATGTTTGATCTGAAAGTTACATGAAATCAAATATCCTCTAAGATTATGAAATACACAGAAAACAAACTCCAAGATTTATGGATAATTCATGAGGAAAGCACTCGGATAGAAACATTTGAAATATTTGTAAAAGAACATTCTGAGTAATTCTTATAGTTTCATTTTTATATTCCACAAAGTATCTGCTTTGACTGCAGTCAGAGAAACGATGTTTACGTCGTCTTCTCTGTTTCTCGTGAGGTCTCCCTTTCTGCTGGTCTCTTGTTAGCAGACCCTTCACGCGGTAGCAGAGTGTTATACAAATATCACTCGTCACCGGCTTGAGCTTCAATATCAGGATCCATGTATTTATTATCCTCTCAAGAATGGAAGTAGTCTTCACACACAGAGCTGCGTGGGACAAATAGTTCCCAGAGTAGAGTCCTTGATATGCTTATATACAAGAGAGGGAGTTACAGTCAACAAGATGGAGGAACACTGGTTCAAAGCAGTATTCTGACATTAGTTCAGATTAGCTAAGGCCTGCGTAAGCAATACACATGACAGTCATATGTCTATCTCTCTAGGGGCTGTGTCATCATGCCAATCTGAGGAACATAGCTATCATAACTTCAACACAGTGTCTCATGAGCGTCATCCATGTAGTCAGACATCCGGCTACGTACACAGCTACGTAGGGCCTCTGTTATCATGTGCTACTCTGATACAGAAGGAACATTCAGTATTTTCCCAACACAGAGCGAACAGTTACAGGAGGCGTAGAGCGAGGGATCATTGTCCACTAGTTCATTGATCGCAGAAGGTGTCGTGCTTAAGGACAGAAAAAAACTAAATGGGTCGCGAAATATACTTTGGCGGCCGTTAATAGACCTGTATACAAGTAGAGTCTATGTGTGGGAAACCCTGCAGTCTGAAAGCATCCATTTTAAACTTTAAACATGATCTTTAATAATTGTGTAGTTTAGTTTAACTTCACGAGGTCGACCGGTTGGACTCTGGTTCTGGACCAGCTTGCAGGCCTGGCTCCAGGAGTTCTTGGAGAGAAGGACCGCTTCCTGCCGCAGGACTCAGAGTTCCTGAACATGGAGAAACAGCTTCAGTTATTATGCTCCAAATATCTGGATCAAAGTCACAGAAAGAATGTGTCTGCAGCTCAGAGAGTCCTGCTGGGAACACAGAGATGTTGAGGAGCCCAAAGTGTGATGATAGAAATGTACAGTACGGGTCCCCAGCACATAGAAGCTGCCGGATGCTAACCTGCATATGTTGGGAGAGCTTTACAGATCAGGAGAGGAACTAAGTACATTTACTCAAGCACTGTCCTTAAGTACCATGTTGAGGTACTGTGTACTTCTACTCCTCTACAGTTCAGAGGTAAATGATGAAGAGAGAAAAACAAGAGTGTTGTTTTCCTCTGAGGTCATGCTCCATGAAAGAGTTTCATATCTAGATGAATGGAGGATATTCAGTACTCACAGGTCTTCTGGATCTTGGCTCTGAACGTCTCTCCTCTGATCCTGTAGGGATGAACACAACCCAACAGTTTTAGATCCAGTTTAAAATAAGTGTTTGTTCTTTGAGTTAGTCATCTTCAGAGTCCTGACTGATCTCATGCTTTACATCCCATCATATCTTCTCTGCAAACACTACGACTGACTGCTCTCAGCTGCATTACAGGAAGTAACCAGTCATTAGGCTAGAAACTAAAAACATCCCATAACAAACAGACTACCTTTTCCACTCTTCAGTCAAATCCCATGTGTCTGTGAGAGAGTTGATTACTAAATGTTAAGTCAAAGTCAACTTTATTGTCAATCTTCCAGTTTGTGTGTACAGAGAGATCGAAATACCGTTTCCCACAATCCAGAATATAAAAACAAATTTATATAAAAATATGTGTGCAAATATTTATATATATTTACACAGAATCAAAGACACATTTTTACATGTGCACACATTAAGACCTAAATAAAAAAATACTATAATCAATATATACAAAATAAAATGACAGTGGCTATAAATAAATAATAATATATATAAATGTGGCTTTGCATTTTCAGCTGGCCTTCTATAGTTGATGGAAGAATGAAAGAGCCTGCAGTCAGTGGGTAACATCACTGATCTGTTGTGATTCCCCAGAGAGAGAAACACCTCCCTGTGTTTCATACAATACTGCTGAACCAGCAGAGACCCCTTACTGACCTGAGGGTCTCCAGTCTGCAGTCTGGGCTCTTCAGAAGATCTCTCAGCTTCTCTCCTGAATCCTTCAGAGCGTTGCTACTCAGGTCCAGATCTCTCAGATGGATGTTGGACTTCAGAGCTGAGGCCAGAGCAGAACAGCTGATCTCTGACAAACTGCAGCGACTCAGTCTGAATAAAGAAAACATGATGAGGATAAAAATCAGTTTATAATCCAGTCAGATGTTCAGGTCTGAAATGTGCAGCTCATCATTACTGCGTCCTAATCAATGATCTTTCCCTGAATAACAGTGACCGTCATTCTGTTATTGAGGATCATCATTATATCAGCCTTCTGTTTATTATCTGTGAAAACACATCTAAATGATTGGGAACTAGGGCTGCACGATTAATCGAATCTAAATCACGATATCAGCTTGTGCGATTACATAACCGCAACAGGCTGTGATTTAATGAAATAAAGAAATGTGCGTGGTGTAGAGCCGATGAATGGGAGTCGGAGGCGGTGTGTTTAATATGGAACTACACACTTTATTTTCCATTTAACTACACACACAAGAACGTGCTAGCTGCATGCTACTGTGAAGCTGGAATGCTAACAACAGGAAACCGGAACACTGAAGCCTCATCTCAATACCCCTCCTCGACTCCTCTCTTCCCCTCCTCCGGGACTTGACCCGGAAATCGATCAAGACACGCCATTTTCTGTCTGACGTCCCAATAGCTGAAATGCACACGGAGGAGTCGAGGAGGGGTGAGGGAGGAGGGGTGAGGGAGGAGACGAAAGGGAGGATACAGGAGAGCAGACTACGCGGAAGCCTTTTCACTACTTGCGTATAAAAGCCCCGCCTCCACCTTCACAGCTGGTCGATTTCAAGAGAGGAAAACGGAGAACTGGAAGAATGAGTGGAAAGCGTCACATAAATGTCTAAGTGCTCACAGCTCCGTGGGAATTATTATGTGCAATTCATTTCTTAAGGTTATACTAACAATTTAAGTCATGTTTAATGATCTTGAACGTCACTAAAACATAGCTATTAAGAAAGCTATTTCATAAATGGCTAGATCTTGATAAATAACAATTATTTGTTTTGTTTTGTGTTAAAATATTCAGTAGTTAAATTATTTAAAATGCACAGTCCTGAATGTGTGTTTGTGGTGAATGTGGGGATCTACAGGACACACATGTTCAGAGTAAAGGCTTTCACATTATTATAATTGTATTGAAATGTACATTTTACACCACAACGGAACACAAAAGCAGGACCAACCATCATACATTGAGTTCCTTCAGTGAATTCAGTTGAGCCCGATGAGAGGGGATACAGCTGTGCACGTCATCATTAACAGACGTTGTTTAAAAGTGACGTTTGAGTGAACGAGGACATCCCAATTAATACCTGAGGACTCCTCTGTCCTCGCGTCACCTCCTCGTGTCTCTCGCTCGCATCTTAAGGAGGCGGAGCTAAGACGCAAGGAAGGGATGCGAGTGAGGGAAAGGAGGAGTCGAGGAGGGGTATTGAGATGAGGC